ACCATATATATTTTTGTCTCCTCTGACTCGCTCCAGTGATATTGTATTCAGAATCTCTCATCTCGTATGGTTTATAACATAATGCTTACTTTCTAGTTGCAGTGGACATTCATGTTCCCTAAGAAATTCAGTGAAAACTTCTTTGTATTTTTCTCCACTGGTCAGATGTCAAGATTACATGGTCTTCAAGTTGAGTGATTGTAGTTCCTGAATCAAATATGAATACGCTACCTGGTGTGTGCCTCGTACAACTGCTGGAAAAGCACTGCAATTTCCGAAAATATTGATAGCTTCTTAGATGGAATGCTTTCAAAAATTTGAGGCACTTCATTTGTCCAAGCGGCGAGCAGCTATTGGCGGAAGCGAGAACTTTTGCGGGGATGGATGTATTAGTCAAGCGCCCACCTGAAATCCATGTTATTGGATGGGCTGGATTAGAACTTTCAGGAGGTTTCGGGGAAAAAGCACCATGAGTGATGTTCCACAAGGATTGACAACGTTTTAAGATCTTAAGTCCCAAATTTAGAATTTTAAATTTGCCCATAGCGGGAAAGGCACTCTAACTGAAACCGTAAGCATCCCTAGATCTTGACCTCATGGGCATGTACGTACATAGTTCAGCATCGATTGGAGTGTCACCTAGCCAGCTGGGAGTATTCGTTTCTTTCCAGCCGTTAGGATTCTCGATCCTTGAGAATGAAAGGAGAGAATGAACATGTAAGCGGAGACAGGGTCGTGGGCTAAACTCGCTCAATAACGCATCTAGCGGTGCTGCCCGTTGTGCTCCCCTCCAATCTACCAACAATATCCAAATGTTCATGAATATTGCAAGGAGGCTAACTGCTGTACTGGGCTTGTCCAATGTCTCTTGCCATATTGAGTCGAAAAAGGGTACGGGAAGTGCAACAATGAAATAGGCTAACCAGACCAAGGTCCACACCGAACGTTCAAATATTCGGGAAGACAGAGAATATAGCAGAACACCAATCTTGCAACCACTATACTTGGAGACCCCCAACGAAAACAGAAAAAGAATCTAGGAAACGAGGATAGACTCGGACGAAGCCAGACAACGATGGCGTACCTCGAGGCTACGGTGTACTCATCCGTTGAACAATCCCCTCTTTAGATATGGGGGAAGCATAGAGTGTATATAGATGTCTCTGGAGAGGCCTTTCCTGCCTCGTGACTTACAAGTGCTTCCGCCATCTTGGGGAAGTCTCGCACGTGGGAATGAATAGCATGATTGGTTTTGTACCGGCGTGGAAGCCGCCAGGCATATAGCTCCGGGAAAGTTGCCTCTTTTGCCCTCCCCCACTCCATGTGTCTGCTATGAACTCCTTCCTCGTGGACTTCAGTGAGATGGCGGCCGCGCCTGGAAGGGTGCAGCGCCTCGCGTCATAGGGGAGGCCCCTCCATTATACACTCTCTATGGGGCGAAGGCACGCAGTTGCTACGCACATGTGTTGTGCCACAGATAGGAAGAGAGTGAGGACCTAGGAAGGAACGGTCTGTGTGGCTCCTGCTTCAAACCTTTTTTCCTCCAAGTACCAAGTGCTCCACAATCATTCATCATAGCACTATTCATTCGGAAGAATGCAATGGTCTGACTAATTATTTCTAATTTCGCCGCGGAACGAGAGTAACAAGCCAGGAAGTGATGAACACATTGAAAAAGAGTAAATTTCTTGCTAATATCAAAGTACTTCCCTGAAAAATGGTTCAAATGATCGTCACGATACTTAGTACAGGAATGGAGGCGAGTATACTATAAAGTCTGACACTGCACTCCTCCATCATGAATAGCGTCTCGAAACGACTTCCAAAAAGAAGGATTGGCTAAAAGCGGAACTCGATAAAAAAAAATAAAAACTTCTCTTTGACGTGCTAATATCGGCGTTAACTTGAGCCCGCTTCAAGGAGAATTTCTCAAGGTTGACGAGATGAAAATTGCATGACGATCCGTCAAGTGGTTCGGATCCTACAGTATGATCCTCTCAAATATTGCGCATGGAGCTGGAGTCATCCGCCCTCCTTTTAGAGGGTGTTCCGAGACGGAATCTACACGGAATCTGGTGACGAAAGTATTGAAACAATCGGAACACTCTCCCTAACGGAATTAGGGAGTAATTTTTGATACGTTATTTGAGAAGCGAGTAATTCCATGGGAACATTCAGTAATCGCAATTTCGCGTTCCATTCAGAGTACATTTTGATGCAAATCTCGAAAGGGCCCTGAAGGAACGATATGAAATTTTGCATAAGACTCATTCAGCGGTTGGTCTGATTTTGGTTGTTAGCGTTTGTGCGAAATGAATCAACGACCGGAATGGCAGCCTAATAAGGACACTTGAAATTTCAACTTTTCTCAATAAATCGCCGGTTTCACCTTTGGCCGATGATGCAATGGCGGTATGCTATTGCTAAAGAGCAATGCCTCAACTGAACGAAAGCGGTGATTGCGCATGGAAGTAAAGTGTTTTGGAATTATGACCATGTATCCACATTCTTCCTTTATTTTGACTCTTCCACAGATCTCACTCATTATCAGCCAAATGTGAATCCAAGATATTCCAATTTCTGCATCCTTAATGTCACGAGTCAGAACAGAGGACGACGAGTGTTGTAATGTATGCAGCTATGTAGAAATTCATTCCAATCCCTGAAGCAGTCGGAACATATAAACATTTTACACATTTTTGTGAACATATAAAACTCAACTAATATCGCAATCCGGATGGTCAGACACCCCAGACACCAGGAGACAAGAGGAAGAACTGAACGAAGGCATACGGCGAAGCCTCAGGCTATTTTGATCAGCCGTCCAACGAAACCCTCTTAAAGAGCTAGGGTATGCTGAAGCTGAGCACAAGCGCAGAAAATCAGGCAAGAGGGAATGAAGACATTGGAAAGAACAGCTTGCAAACCGCTCTCCTTTGCGAGGATATTGCATGGCACAATCTGCACGGATCCTGGCGATGAAGGTGTCTACAGAATTGAGAGACTCTCTTCTATCAGAATTACGGAGGGTTCTTTGATAATTTACTTGGAGGCAAGTTATTCCATGAAATCATACGAAGTCGCATTTTCTTATTTTTATTTACGGTACATTTTTTTGAAAATCTTGAAAATGCTCCAAAGAAAAGACATACCATTTTGCAGGAGTATGATTAAACTTTAGTAGTTGGATTTTGTGCGAAATGAATCCGTGACCGGAATGGCACCCGAAGAAGCATATTTACAATGAGGACTTCTCTAAGTTAATTGCTTGTTCGACCTATGACCTTTCACTCAAGAACGCATCACTTGAATCCATTTGAAGGAGCAATGTCTTAGCTGTATGAAAACGTTAATTGCACATCTATATACGAAAGGGTTTGAAAGTTTTGTTTATTTCATTGCAACCCAGGGAAAGGCTATCTAGCGGTACGTTCAAACATTAATTTCAGAAAATCTGTAGGCCGGAGGTCACTGCTAGACACCTCCTTCCTCTTCTCTTGAGACCCCCTACAATAATTATAAGCTGAATTTCAAATCTATGACCCTCGATTCTTTAGTTCCTTCCTATCTTAATCAATGGATTAAAGAATCCTGTCCTATTTGGAGGCCAAGGTCTGCGCAAAAGCCCACGGAGTTTCGATGGGCTCAAACGTGATCTCAGGCGAGCATGCGATTAAATGCCGGTCGATCATCTTCGAAACACCACCTATGACTTCTCTTAACCATTGAGGTGAGTTGTGGCCGTCAAATTTGGCAATTTTGAAAAGTAAAATATTCATTTTTCAGGGTTTTTTTTTATTCTCTTCCCATTGGTGCAATTGGTTTTTGCTCCAGCTCTTTAGTGCAAGGAAATCATGTTATTTTTCCTTGTCCAAAGGCCTATGTGTCACCTCTTCTACTGCACCCGCTCCTGAGAATGGCGATGAATGTTCCCAACTCAAATTATTTCAACACCTCCTTCATCGTGCATGCAATGGGTGCAAGAGATGGACGTGCGATTCCGCTTTTAAGGGCAAGGAGAGCAAAACCCCGTGAATTTCATCCCCGCTGTGGCTTCCACGGTGGATGTCAGTGTCAACTGCAATTCCGGCAACGAAGACCACGTCTTCGTCGTTTCCGGATGAAATTCCCTCCTACGTTGCTGGCCAACTCGACAAATGTCTTCAGGTAGAAGCCATTTTCAGTCTGAAAATCAATTTATTTTCTCAAATTTTCAAAGGCATCTAGATCTGACGTCCACAAAATGGAAAAATATGTATCCAGTCGTTGGTTAGCGTTATTTCAAGGTTCCATGCAGATATGCTAAGTATGAATTAGGCATTGGAGAAATTCAAGATTTCGTGATAATTGCTTCTTCTCCGCCCAGAGATTGCAGAGAAGAGTGCATCACAGAGTATATGTGAATGCAGAGTGTATGATCGTTATCATTTCAGAAAAAGTTTATACTTAAAGAACTTCTGCGAAAGCGGTCGAGAACTATCAGAGCGTGCCCAAGTCCACGCGCAGGAAATGCGGGAAGCTCTGAAGTTCCGATCTTGTTCCACGATTGTTTAAAGCATTGCGAATGAACACGCAGTGTTTCTCATCTCGGAAGCCGTGTATCGTAAAGACTAATTAACCTAACAGGCATTGAGAATAATAAATTAGAATCGTGATTAAAAATTTTCTATCCTGGCTTCGTTGTGTGTCATCAAAAAACCGTGAGCAAAGTGACGTCAAAGCACACATTTTATAACAAATATGGGGTTTCACAACTTCATTTAAAAGCTTCAAGCCCCGAATGCGCAAGTCTACAATATATATCATCTGCATAAGACACTTAGTAAAATGAGGTGTTCTTAATCCGGCCAATTCCGAAGATGCAAACGCTGCAAGTTTGCTTTCCCGAACGGCTAAAAAAAACAGCATGTTAAATACATTGTTGGCATGATGTATTGCATCATGCATTGTCCAATTTATATGGTATGTACAAAACGCGCCTACCTAATTTGGCAGAAAAGATCACATCCAATGTTGAAAATACAAAAATGAAAATATCCAAGCACATAAATTATGCAAGCAACGTTTGTGACACAATGAATATGAACGGATGAATGAAGGTCTTTCCAGTCCAATCGTGGGCCTCCTTTCAATGACAAATGAGACTAATGTTTTCCTCGTCTTTCCCGCCATGAGGAAATTGTATGTTTACTAATTTGACGAGTAAGTCATTTTTGCTGATTGGAACTTAGCCGAAATTACGAAAGCCCGTATTTTTTGCTATGTTCACATGTGCACCTATTTCCATTGACCGGATCAATATCTGTTATTTGTCATAGAATAAAATACAATGAAAAATTCATGTAGGCAAGTCGGACGGTCCTGTTATCTCCCATTTTCCTCGCATGAAGGGATGTCCGACGAAACTCTTTTGGACCGTGAAATTTACACTTCTTGCTTTTGCGAACGGTATGAGACAAACTCGGCGTTGAAATTTTCTTGCTTGCCTTCGAAGCCATGCTCTCCACCGGCATGATCGAGATTCTCGAGCTCCTGAAAAATAATTGATTACCATCAATTTATCCGTCATCTCTTCTGGACCTCCTTGAAACAGTAATGGTTGGCAAAATTTCAGATTCGCTGCTTCATACAGGACCGACTGTCTTCAGTCTCTCAATACTTACCGAAGGCGTTTACTCTCCATTATGCAATTTCTTCGCAAGTCTTCTTTTGAAATATGCATCTATTCCACCGTCGATAAATAGTTCCTTGAAAAACCTTCTGAATTTCGGAGGAAAGCGCATATTTTAAATTCATAACTTCCATATATGCACATGTTTTCATGAGAAGGTGCAATAGGGAGTGGTCTATCATTTTAACCATTTGTATCCTTTTTGAATTTTCGTTGTACGAGCGGCTGTCAAAAAGTCTGTAGACACAGCGAAGTGTGGATTAGGCAATAAATGTATTCGAGTGCAATTATGGATGCTTCGCTATTCATTTTTACCAGAGCGTTGTACCAAATTAGGAGGCTGTAATTCAGACAAAACGTATGTAGTCGCTATGTGAGCCAAGTTTCACCGAAACCCCAGATGGAAGAACAGACCTTGAAACAACATGAAGCATCTCTCTAGCTTGACTCTAAGAGAAGTTAGCACCATATTGTGCACAGTGGGCACCCATGGGTCTCAAAGTACACTTTTTTTTAACACCTTAACTTCAGATATAATAGGGTGATGATGCAAATTTTCATGCCACCTCACTTTCTCAACAGAACGGAGCATCGGTCAAATTCTATCCAAATCAGAGAAATTCATGATTTCTAATGCCTTGATTTGACTCCAAAGTATAATTTTGAAATTTAATTTTTGATCGTTCGCATTTCCTGTGGATATAAATGTACCATCGATCCGATCATACTCCATCATAGACTCAATACAGGAAAGGTTCTTGTTGAGCTATATTTCCTCTTTTATATATTTTCATCTAATGCCTGGAATCTCCTTCGCCGGGTAACCACATCAAATGTATCAAGGAAGGTATTCAAAAATCTTTCTCCAAGTTGTAGAGAAGAGACAAGAAAGAAAACAAAAAATGCATATATATTGTTTTTAAGGATCAAATAGCTTCATCAATCGTAAAGGCCGAAGTTGAGTAAGATTCTTCGACCTAAGTAGCCGACCATTCCCTTAGAGATCTAACAAATAAAGAAAATGGATGCTGTTGGTTCTTTGTCACATACCTTTCCAGTTTTGTATATATGCAGTGCTGGTAGCGTCACGAGTTTATGCTCATTAGAGGAAGGAAAACAAACTGGAAAAATAGTGAACTAATAAAAAGGGAGAAATTTCAATTGACACGTGATAGTTTTCGAGAAACGGTAATCTCAGATTTCAGCAAGTTTACATCTCCTACGTTACCTCTGACAATGAACTGCGGGTAACGACAAACCAGGTCACCGATGCAAGCTGCCTTAATGAGAATCATGCCGCGGGTGTCTAGTGCAACATGTCGTGAGAGGTTGCTCTATAATTCCTGAAGAAAGACTTCGAGTGATTTCCGCCAGTGGGGAGAACCGCAAGTCCCCTGAGAGAGTCTCTAGAAGCGTTTCACGGTTCCTAATGACCAACAGAGTATAATCATTCTATTGCATCTATCACGAGAAGCTCTGCTTCCCATGTGCTCAATTCAGCTGCAACCCGACACAGTCCTGGTGGAAGGCGACATATATGATTAGAGAAAAGATATGATGTTAATTCAAGAATAATACATTCCTACTGCATAAACCATGGTGAAAAATGGTCTATTTCTGAAAGCTGCATATTTCACTATACTGAGAAGACATTATATTCACTAGCAGCTCAATTCCGCTGTTTCTTGCTACTTTGTCTTTCTCACGTGCTTCCGAATTTTCGAAATCAGGAGTACCAAGAAGAGTAAAAAATTGTTACGAGCTCCGATACTTGATAATTTCTCATGACGAAAGATGACTTCCCCTCACCTTGAAATGGGAGTAGACGACGAGGAAGAAGTGCACAGCAATGGAATATGCGATTAAGAAAACGACAGCCACGACGATGAAGATGATGAAGAAGAGACCATTCTTTGTCATGACAAGTAACCCGATGAGCATTAAGAAAACCACGACGAAAATTATTATGCCTGTGATCAGCGCCAGGAGCTCCAGAGCCAACCATGGTATCATTAGTTTCCTCTTCCCCTGAAACGTAAAAAAAATACGGTCTGCAATACTTCACAATCGTTCTTGTATGACTTCTTATCTTTCTTTAATGTTACTGATAAAAACTACGGGAATATTACCCTAGTAACAGATAACATTGAAACAACATTGATTCAAAGGTGATTCAATATCCGGACGTTGAACCAACATTGAATTAATGTTATATGCTACTAGGGTATAACCACCTCACAGGTTACCCATTGGAAATCATGTAAATGAAAGTAGCCAAGCAGTATGTGCTCTAATCACATTAGAGATGTCGGAGGTTTCCAGAGGCTTGGGGCAAAACTAAACCAGCCCTTCAGGCCCTTTGGAGGTCCGCTTGGGACCGCCTTGCCTTGATTACCGCCGTGGTAAGCCAGGCACGGGGCAAATTGTCCCACCCCCCTCCAATGGGCGGCCCTTGTGATGTCGCAGTTAAAATTATATATACAAAAAAGCATGTTGATGTTAATTTGTAGTAAAATGAATGTATTTTTTTTGTCCATTTTATATCATTTTTACCAGCAAACCATTGTCAAGATAATGTCAACATGTTTTGCAAAAATTTCACTTCTCTTGTACGTAATCGGTGATATAAAATTAACGTATATGTTACGTAAAATTGGCATTCCCGTTTGCATTCCAAACAGCATGTTTACATTCATTTTACGTAAGATTTTTGCTCTTTTTAGAAAATTGTTTTGTGTTTTGTTTTTTTAGTGTTGGAAAACCTATATCTAAAAACCTATATTTTTAGACCATTAGAGGCTATTCCCCTAATGAAATTAGGGGAATAGCCTGAGATGAGAAGCAACATTTGATTGGCTCAGATACAAACCTTCCGAACTCCATGAATGAGAAGAGAATCAAAAATGATGAACGCGAGAAGGATGACCATGCTGGAGACAAGAAGATTCGTATATGCTGGAAGAAAAAACATGGGATATATAGCAAAATCTCTTGAGATCATCCTTACTTGTTTTACAATGATAAACGTTCAGGTATGGCTTTAAAAAAAATCGTATGGAAATAAAAGGAAAATCTTAAGACTTCAGATTCCAGAAGCGATAACCCACCCTCTTCTGAAACTTGATCGTGGATTTCCGGTCTCATCTCGTATCCACGACTCATGTCGACCACGTTCATCACGAAGGAAACGCAATAGGAAATCTGGAAAAGAAGAAGTTGCATTAGGAAATAATGAAGATTTTCTTTGATCTTGGAGGAAATTGACCGGTATCCAAAAGTCGCATTCAATAAGCACAAAACAATGGAAACTTTTCTTGGACGACATCTTTTCCGAGCTAGAAGAGCCACTGACTTAATGCCTTTGTGTGGTTTTTTTTTATTACCAAGAAGCATATCTGAAAGAAATATTACTTTCCTTTGATTCACTTTTCTTATTGTTACTATCGTGTTTTCAGGGTGTCCTTCACATCCGAGCAATTTCGATTGATACGAATAGCTGTAGTTCCATTTCAATAGAAATTATTTTTCGAGTCAAAGTAGTCGGTTTTAGAAAAGGCTGTGAAGTAAGCGGGACATTTTTGCTTCCTATTCCTATTCCTCAGTTTCTGCATTGAATTAAAAACAATCGAAAGTGTTAATTTTCAATTCACATGACAATGGCCTTTGACGTTCCCTAGTGCAAGTGAAAATATTTCCAGCTAAAACTTGTGGGTGCGGCGCTTTAAGCTTTAAACACTTCAATAAAACTTTCAGTTTAACTGAAAATTTTAAAACTGTTTCGACTCTTGTCGAAATATTTCTATCAAAGCCCAACAAAGGATTAAGGTGTTAGATGCTTCCATTAAAAGAATAAGAAAATGTAGCACTGCAGGGGCATTTTCGGCGTTAGGTAGAAACCCCCCATCAAAAAAATTATCTATTCGTAAGAGTGGTAGGTCTATCATATAATGCGTGAAAATGATGGGGAGTTAGTACGAGAGTGAGTTAAGGAGAGTCTTGAAATAGAGTAAAGTTGGATTTTCGCGCACAAGAACCACAAGTGGGTAGTATTATGTGAAAACGCTGAACCATGACACAGGATGTCATCCTGCGTGAATCCTCTTGCCTTTAGTGACATTTCCTGTTATCTGGAATAAAAATCAGAATCGCATTATTGGACTCCCGGTGCATGATGTGATTTACCTTATAGTTCAAGAAGAGAGGAAGATTCTCACAGCATTTCCTTTTCAACCCAAAGTAATTACGAGTATTAAGGAGGATAAATAAACATGGCAACCTTTAACTGTAGTTTCCTTGAAAAAAGGGACTTTAAATGGCTAAAGTTGCACTTTAAATAACGGAGCAAGAATTAAAATGAATCTGAGCATAAAAATGATGTGGTACAACTTAATGCGAATTTGCAATTGGTACAGGTGAGTCATTCAAACATTTATTTCCGAAAAAGGTATTTCTGAAGCCTATGTAATTCAAAGAAATGGTGGATAAAAATGGTGGTATGCCGAAGGCAAAAAAACGACTACTGTTGAATTGGGGTATGATTATTCTTAATCCCGCAATTTCCTTGGACAAAGAGTAGGTATGCTTGTAAAAAGTTAATTCACAAAATGTACAGGATGTTCCGAAAGTTTCTGACCAACTTTGACAAAATATGGCTTAATACTAGGCCGGCCACTGGGAAAAAAATCCTGATAATCTACAAGTGTTTCATGAAGATCCGGGCGATCTGGTCAGATCGAGAAACAACTGTGCAGATGCAGGACGGAGGTCCGTAGCACTCGGCTTGCTTCGCGCTCCACGTCATTAAAGGGACTATGGCAAAGAATTGACCATAAACTATCCGGATTCCAATACCAGGAACACCTTTGGTGGAGATATTCGCAGCAGAGAGCTCTGCGTCAGCCCCATCACATAAATCGTGCTTCGGTTGTTTCCAGGGTTCTAAATGGAGTGAGAAACCAACGGGATGAGTCTCATCTGTCGGTCGATTTAGAACTTCCGGACGATGATCTGAGGACGTTGATCTTATAATCAACATAAAAAATTTATGTAGGAGATGGTACCTTGAGTATTCCAGACCATGTGGAATGTATTTAAATCAATACATCCCTGTTAATCACGTCTTCATCTTCATTCTAGTGGGTTTAGAACTTTCGGAACCTCCTCTATATTACCTGGGAAAATGAAATGACGATTCAACTTTCTCCTGAACTAGCGAATGCATGGTTGTGACCGAATGAAGAGGGGGGTGCCGCGTCAATCGTCATCAATTGTTTCACCAGTTTCGAGAATGGAAAAATCGATTATTTTAATGGGCAATAGGTGCTGCTATTTTCTTGCAGCTAACATAATACATCGCACCAGTCTTTCATGTTTTACTGCTGCTCATGAAAGGGTTAAGAATCTCCAACGATTACATTATAATAAGATGTAAATATAAAAGAAAATAATGAGAACTGGGAGGTTCCAGCATACCAGACTGATGACTCCAATTGCGATGCTCCCATCCCTGTTGCTCAAGAACCCACAGCAACAGCGTCTTACAACTGGGATCTTCATTTTCCGATGGCTTCATTTCACGATCTGCAGCATAAAATAGTTTATGTTGGCCTGTGAGTGAATGAGATGTAACATGTGCATATTCATATTAATGGGCTTACTAGTGCGCAAGCCAATGCATTCAGAATTAACCAGGATGGCTCAAAAACACTATTAGGACTTGACGGTTCATGAATTTGACTGAATACAGCATGTTTGTAAAAAATGAATTTTTGTCTGAAAAATCATCGAAATATACAATTACTGGTGATTTCAAGTATTATAGTCGTTTATTCAAACTTTCGGTATGGAATAATGGAAGTTTCAATACCTATCCCGAGGAACAGGATGTAGAACGATAAGAAACAGTTCCACTTATGCTTTTGCTGAACGTTCATTCTGGACGTATCTAATACATGCAGACTGAGTGAATGACGCTAATTCTAACTATGTTCTATAGGAGTTAGAAATCTGAAACTTGGTACACTAGGAGCTATTCAGATGCAGAACTGAGAATAAATCCGACATTGGAGGTACATGTCATTTGGGGCAATATTTTTTGCGGAGGTGTTTTCAAACGAATATCTTTTTGCTTCAATGAAACGGAGAGACATGGAAAGCGGAAACTTGGCATGAACGCCAAACAATAGTGGCCAAATGATTTAAATATCCCAGGCCATCGTTGACTCGAATGACGACAGGTCATTTCATACGAAATGACGTCACCCAATCGGCACAGCCACGTTGTGCCAACGTTGAGAAAAGGTTGAAACGTTGAGACTTGGTTAAAGTTGAGAATCCGACGAAGAATTGACATCAATGAAATTCTGGCTACTCTGGCTATTCGAAGACCTTCGCTAATCCACGGGTGGTCAGAACATGCTGCAAATAAAGTTAAATACGAAGAGCCAGCATTTCATTTCTCAGCTTTAACCAAGATTCAAGATTTCAACATTTCCTCAGCGTTGACACAACGTGGCTGTGCCGAGTAGGATGTGTCCGTGGTGTCTTCTTCATTCATTGCACCACGACCTGCGCAATTCGCGAACTGCGACACAAAAACCATCCAGGCTCGTGCAAAGGATGGAGGGTGAAACACGAGATATGTGGAGTCCGGCTGGCGCATTGCCCCCCCCCCCCCTTCCGTCCCCGCCCCGCCCCCCGTTCCCAGTCGATATCCGGTGTCCACTCTACAGTAGATTGGGGTTCCGCTCCTCTTCGTTTGAAAGCGAGTAAACGGACTGCTTCTTCATTCCCGATCCAAATAAATTGGGAATCCTATGTCAATATCTATCCCTAGTGCGAAAATCAATGTCCGGTATGTGCTTCAGTTCTCATTTTCTCTTCTTCTATTAAAATCATGTATTGGTGAAGTCCATCTCCAAGACTAAAACGGTCTTAAAATCCGTCATATATAACACGAATATATATGACGGAGCTCATGACATGGTAAACAATTTAGTCACCCTTAGACATGGGTGGCATGCACGCGTGCTAATTCGAGTGGGTTCTATTCTTTTGATGGTATGAGGAGGTTAAAAATGTTCGGGGAATGTATTATATGTAGCTCCTGAAAATAGACTGTTTTTGAACTTAATTCCCTTTACCGACAATTTCTGAAGCAGCCATTTGGACAAAGCATGCTTTGAAGCATTTTCTTGTGGGCTGAACTATATATTATTAGTTCGGAAGGGCGATTTCCAAACCTATAGAACCGATTCCCCTTTAAAAATAAAAATAAAAATAAGAAAAAGAAGCACACTGAAGAGGGTGAAAAAAAAAATTAAAATAAATTGAGTGCGCAAATCCAAATTCTTGATTTCCCGGCTGATGCCGATCAAAGTATTCGGATAATATTGAAATATTCACCCGTTCCAAAAGTCACACTTCTAGGTGATTCGCGGACTACTCAATGAGCAAATAGAAAACTCTTTCACCTGAGGCTCCCAGGTATAATAATTCCCGCCTCCGCACTCCACTCCGAAAGCACTTAAAATCACGAAGCCGACGAAGGACCACGTGCAATCCACGTAAGACCCGAGAGGAATGGGCGAGAGGGAACGAGATCCTGCGGCATCCACATCCCAGATCGATTGCATCCGTCTGCCTCATGAGCGCAGGCGTTGGGTTTGGACGTGAGAGAATTTGTTGAGATGAGGGAGAGGGGGACTCGCGAGCTGGGCAGTCACGTGAAAATGCGATGTACCCTGTGGAAACCTGCATTAATACATGGAGGTTGACGTTAGTGACGGGAAGGGGTTGAAGAAAGGGAAGAGGCGCCAACCGCCTGTTGATTCTAGAGCCTGCGCCAAGCAACCATCCTCTCACTCTGTATTCTAGACTGTGCCTCACTTTTTCTATGTGCTGGGATGAGGGAGTGAGGGGCTCGTGAGCTGGACAGTCACGTTAAAAACCAATTTCTCCTAAGAATATATGCAGATAGCCAGTGCGTTATCTCCTTTGGCATACCTGTCTATTATGCACTGAGTGGCAGCCTGTCGTAAAGAAACGTTCATTGAATCCCAAGGGAAAAAGTGATTGTAGTGGACGTGTTGAAATTTCCCAGAGACGCTTGAATTACGTGATTCAGGGACCTCTATCCCTTTCATTTGTGGGGAGTCGGTTAATTAAGTCGCAGGAGAATGATTGGTCATCGGAAGTCAATCTATGCTATATTTCTGAATGTTTGGGTTTCTCTCTGTCCATCCTCTTTACACGGCCACGCCTCTGATCCCAGTCCAAGCAAACCTTGCACGGCTTCCTTATTTGGTCCGGGGACGGTCGTGGGTCGCCTGCCCCTTAATCCGAATCCACCCTCAGATCCTAGAAAAGCTCGTTCAAATTCCAAGTTCCATATGCTTGGGGTTGGGGAGAGGGCAGGATCACCATTCTCATTTTGTGCATTTTCTCATTTCGGTAACCCCCCCCCCCCCCAACAGGTTTCCCGACCTGTGGGTGCTTAGGTGGAGATAGTCCAGCCGGACTTTTGACAAAGATTTGGACTTTTGGAAAGAGATGTGTGCCCTTCTTGTTGCTCGTAATGCATTATTTCCTTCGTGCATCAGCTAATATCAAAAATGAAATTTATTGCTGCATAATTAGCCTCATTTGCGGGTTCCAGTCCCGCTTACATGGTTGATGAATTACTGTACTTATCTACAAAAAATAAATTTTTGGGCCATACAATATCCTCAACCCTGTGAACTGCGAAGGCCCAAGTAACTCTCGGGGCTCCCAAGTAACGCTCGGGGCTCCCGAGTCCGACAAGTAAAGGAAGGACAGTACAGTATAATGGTACTCGCTAATTGAAGATGTCGCTGGTGTCACGTGAAGTCATGCAGTGTTCCTTTTTTGCAGCTTCTACTTATGTAGCATATTTTCATTAATTAGTTGATATTCTCATATACATTTACAATATCAATTAAAACACGTTATCGTTTACTCGTACTTCTGGCATGCAAGAACAGTTCGCAGCACAACGAAAAGGAGAGAGCGAGTAAAGTTGGCCAGCGAAGCCTAACTGTGGGTCACCTTTAATGCATTTTAGGGGCTAATGACTCTCCAAGCCTATCCTGATGCAACCAACTACTGATCCACTCGCTCGTCCTACCCTGGATCCCGTGCGCCTCCAGTTTAATTTGCAACCTCTTGTGAGGAACGGTATTGAGATCCAAATCGTTTATGTAGACCAAAACCAGAAGCGGTTGGAGGACCTCGCATTGAGGGACACCGCTTGCGACTCCGACCTCCTTCGACGCTTCCCCATTTATCATCACCCGTTGCTCGCGTCCTGCCAACCAACTACTGATCTACTCCCTCGTCCTACCCTGGATCCCGTGCGCCTCCAGTTTAACCTGCAACCTCTTGTGAGGAACGGTATCGAAAGCTTTCGCGAAATCTAAATAGACGATGTCCACAGGATTCCCTTTATCCCTCTCTTCCGTCGCCCAGTCGTAGAATTCGAGCAAATCGGTGAGACAATTTCGACGCCTCCTAAAGCCGTGTTGAGAGTCCCGAATGAGCGCGTTTCCTTCGAGAAAATCCAAGAGATAGTCCCTCCATGATCTTCCTTGGGATACTCGTTAGACTTACTGGCCCGTAATTTCCTGGATTAGAGTTCGATCGATGTTCGTCCGGCTTTAAATCGACGCAATTCGACCAAAAATCCACCCACTTAAGTGCCGCTCGTTTCTTCAAGCATTGAGCCCCATAAACATTTTGCAGCCATTTGTGGATGGATGGGGCATTCTCACCCATAGCCAAAATGAATTTTATCACAATAAACTGCTCTCCCTTACAAAACGTCCACCTCCCATGTTGACTTAGAACCTGGTTGATGCCCCCCTAGGCGGTGTTTCCTGCTGTAAGAGCAATGTCCACCAGGGGGAAAATCCACCTGGCTCTAAATTTATGTGCGCGAATGGATTTGTGGATCTCCACCCGGGGGGGAGGGGGTGGGGGGGACGTTGACCTGGTTCCAAATCCACCCAATATCCACCTGGTTGTTTGACCTGGTGGATAGGGGGTGGACGTTTTGTAAGGGTTCTCAGAGGGTTCTCAACCATCTTTCTTTTCTTCCACTCTGGCAAAATTTGTTAATCTGCGAAATTGATTAAATGTCATGCAGCCTCGCCATGATCATGAAGTAGTGGATTTTAGGTGCAAGCGCCCTAAGTATAAAAAATAAAGTCCACAAACTTTTCTATTCCCCTCGTAGTTCCAGGCTATCTGTCATTTGAGATGTCACAATGTGTTGAGCACATGCTAGAGAACCTAGTAATTAATTAATATATCTACGGAGTCAATGCCTTTTAAATTAATGATTGCAGTTTCTTTCGCTGATCAGGTGTTTGCAAGCTTCAAATGAGCTATTAGTCTACCCCTATTACTTCCTAGTTTCCATTTAGAATTTAAAAAAAGAGAGCAAAATATTAGAGTATTACTCAATGACCCAAAAGTTGAAGCGATTCCATTTAAAATGTGGAAGCGAAAAGAAGCAGGATTAAAACGTGAAAAAGGCTAAATTCTGAAGAAAAATACTAGGTTAATTATGTAAGAAAACATGGTAATTAACTACTATGTGTGGGGTCTTATATAAGTTAATTTCCACTTGTCCTAACATCACCGATTGTGATTTAGCCCAGATATGCGCGACCACATAAAAAAATCAAATAGCCAATAATTCTAGAGTTTTTGCCAGTTATTGGAAAAATAAAGTTTGGGGCAATTACCAAGTATGTCTGGTCCTACGGGGAGAGAATAGACGAGGACCAAGAGCTGGTAGACGGTACTCTTGAAATCGAAAAGGATCATACTTACTGATGCCTGTCGTCGAGAGACGGGAGTCTATCCTTCCCCACAATCTGATCAACCTCCGACTGGAGTATCTCTTGCTTGTCTGGATGTCGGAGTAGGAAGAGGATGCACCAACGGATGCAGTGCGTTGTAGACTCGCTCCCGGCGAAGAAGAGGTCTGATACGTTTGCCCAGAGCTGAAACTCTGCGAACACCCATAAAAACCACCCTTCATCGCAATTAACCATATTCGTTTGTGTAGGATGGAATGTAATTTGCATTATTTTACTTCGCAGGCGTGAAATATGCGAGAAACATCGTAGAGTTAGTCCTATAACTCAAGAAGAAGATGTAGATTTTCCTGTTTTGACTAGGTGCTTCTTCCCAAGTCTAAAAGCCTCTCAGGCTTCTGCTACGCATAACCTATTAAGTCAACTAGTAACTTATCTCACTTAAGTAAAGTGAATCATAGTAGAAGACTTTAGTAACACGTCCAAGCTGTCATCCATTCAAATGTTCGGCTTTGTTTATACCAACAATTATCGCAATCTCGAGTTTTTGTAGCGATTCAAGAGTTATTTAATTTTCCGAATTCCAATGAGGATTCTCCTCTGAAGAGACGCGGTAAGCAGACGCAAAACAGTATGCGTACACTCCATCGACCTAGCCCGAACACCAAAGAACAGGAGAGATTGAAAGCTTGGTGTTTCATTCCCCATCCGCCTCTGACATTGAACCTGAGTCTCGTTGCCAGACTATCAATAGAAGAACAAAGTGCTGCCGCGATCTGTGTTCGTTAACTACTTTTAATGTACTTTCTTCGTTATAGGTACCCAGGCAGGACATTATGTTGTGTCCATCTTTGGCCGTAAGTGGGAGAGTGTGCTCTCAAATCGCAGTGGGCCCATGTAAGCCTGGGTCAGGCTTACGAGGGACCAACTTTACTTTCTTTCCTGTTACCTATATCCCAAGTTTGGAATTCCGATGTTGGCCAAACGTTGTTTTACTGCTTGGGGTACGAAGTAGTTTCCTGCTATTTGTTGAAATAACTTCAGTCATAGAACGACCCCTTAAGAACAAAACGGGAAGCAAAGAAAAATCCTTTCGGCACAACAACGTCGTGTCAACATTGAGAAAAGGTTGATTTTTCAACTTGACATTGTTGCCTCACTGTTGAGAAAAGGCTGAAATGAAACACAGTTCAAAGTTGAAGAGTTGCTGCTGAATAACGTTGTCTCAACGTTGAATTTTCAACATCTGGACATTACTGCGTACCTCCTCCCTCATCAAGTGCCTGAAAGGGCGTTAACCTTTTCATGGCTGAATGATGAAGACCAATAACTTGGAAAATTTTTCTGCGCTTTATCTGTTGAGCAAGCATACCTTAAGTTGGAACTTGCAGAGAAATTCAAATATTTATTCATATATTCAAGAATAGAATATGATCATTACAAAGGGTCATATCATACGTAAATATGAATGCCATGGATGAGCGTGAAAATCCTTGAGATACTCTTTGTCCTTCGTCAGGCACAAGTGTACTTTCAGGTACACATGTACCTGACGAAGGACAAAAACTTTTCAGAGAACTTACATGCACTGCATACAAATCAGTCAGTACCGATTTGGTGCCCAAAAATATGAAAAACTCCAGTCTAAAGATGACTTTTTCTTTAAGTGTTCACGACCTAGACCCATGAGTCTAGCATTTTCGTGTTCGTGGGTAAGCAGGCCCAGGGCCTCAGAAAACGTTTATAGATCAATTTATTTATTTTCCATGTTTTCTTTGCAGCATCCCTAAAAAATGCTTAAAATGAAGTACACCGTTGGCGATTTGCATAGCACACTTAGTGGGATATGCGATTGTAGTCTGTCGATTGGACGCGGTGTCAAAAGGTTTGGGGTCCCTAAAAGTACCCTATCTGCGGAAACTAATAGTGCTAGGTCCCTCGGAAAGTCAACATAGGGTCATATGCCTGTGCAGTGCGCAGAGAAAGTTGTCGAGGCTGGCCAACTGCATGAATGGGTCTTCCATCGAGTGATTTAGTCCTTACCGGTGAAGTTTTTCAAAATCAGAAACATTTTAAACACGAGGCCAACACGGTACATTCGCATTATTTGTACGATAAAGCACGTTAAGAACCAGCTTTGTTGGCAAACAAGTTTCTTGATAATAGAGAAGCAAATAGGCCGTCTACTAATAACTTACCAGAAGAAAGATCGTCGAAAAGAAAAAAGGTTTTAGGCGACATAAGAGAAACTTCTAGTCTGGATTAATGAATAAAATGTTTTTTTTGATCGATAAGGTCAAGGTCTCCTGTACTTCATCGGAGAACGCGCACTGGGTTTCCAACTGTATTGAGTTTCGCTTCGCCAGAATGGGTGCGGATGTAGTTGTGCTTGCCAAAAAATGGGTGAAGAATGAGCGATTTTTCTTTCATTTTCATCTCGGTGACGATGAATAAAACTGTTGCACACATTCCATGGGTTGTCTGCTTATAAGGCCTATCCAGGACCATGAGTGTCAAAAAACTGATGTCGTCCACAAACTTGGTCCATGAATTCCCGCGAACTGGAACCAGTCGTCCACAAATAGAAACAGCGTGAAAATCCTCATATAGTCATTAAATCACCTATTCTTGGAAGAGTATGCAATCAATGCTAAATTTTGGAGCATGAATATATAACTACTAGCGAGTTCGTTTGCCCTTCGGCGCTCCATTGACCAGGATAGTGATTCGTTCATTAATTCATTTTCAAAGTGGCAAAAACGTAAGAAAAGGATGTCCCTGTCGAAACGTGTGACATGAGGGGACGAACCGATTTTCTTATCGAAATAAATAGTCCGATGATTTATTGTGTGCCTAACTTCAAATCTCTTAATAATTTGCCCTGAGGCAAATAAGTAACTGAAAAGTATGATATTTTAAAAGTAGGATCTGCACTCAGCAATCGAACAGGTACTTCTGTTCCGAGTTTCAACTTTCTTCAGTTCTCTCTTTCAGTGGATCAAGAAAGATTTGGGAAAATGTGCCTTTCGCAAAAAATGTGCCCTCAGGGGTTTTACCTAAAAATTAATATTTGTATTATTACTGAAATCAGTATGAAATCAGTACTCGGAGACCTACATGCCTACCAAGTTTCAGCCTTATCCGTTTGCCCTTTTCGCTGGTGCAAAAATATCTTTGGAAAGGCGACCCACCCAAAAGCTGTGCCCAGAGGGTATTCACTACAAAATTTGAAAATTTCTGAACTCAACTCAACACCACCTCAGTTATGCGTGTGCCAAGTTTTACCTCTCTACCTCTGCCCAATTCGCAAGCACGAAAAAAAATCTTCGAAAGCGTCGGCCCCCAGAAAATATGCTCCCAGCGGATGTATCGGAAAATTGACATTTTTCATGAGCTCCATGTCTCAGTAGTCACGCTCATGCAAAGTTTCAGCTTTCCATGTTTTTCCGTTTGACAGAACCAAAAAAAAATATTTGAAAACATCTCTCCAAGAAATTTGTGTCACTAGGGCATTTACCTCCAAAGTTGTAATTTTTCTGGACTCGTTATCCCAATGTGTACTAATGTATCAAGTTTCAGGTTTCTACCATATTTAGAACATGGCTAGAATTAACATCAGTCAGTCACGATCGCCTATATGTATTAGATGATATGTGACCTCATTGAAACCAAACACGTAGTTCTCAGGTGACCCCAACGACCGTTGGACAATTTCCAAGGTAAAAAGTTCCTTAACCCGTCCACGAACTGGTGTTTTTACCCTACCAGGTGACACACAACTTAGTTAAGGTGGTGTGGCACCAGCTCCCTTCCCCAAACGTAGGTTGTGGTCCACCACCTACGTGCTACTTGGGTATGCTTTTCCTTGGAGGAAAAATGTCTTCAGATTCTAATTTAAATGACATCCTGTTTGCAAAATGAAAAGGGGCTGATGACGCCGTTAGTCAATCACAACAGCGTGGTCACGTATCAGTATTTTTTGCTGTGGGTTTTCGATCCTTCCTCGTATATTGTGCTACATTCTGGAGGCATTGTCTTCATTCGTAAGGACTGATATGAATTCCAAAACATACCGGTGAAATTGGGATTAGATTCCCCTCTCTTCTCCAACTCTTTCATTTGCTGCAAATACGCATCGATGTAGTCGCTGGGAGCCTTTCCTTCCGAGGGCTGTCTATGCTTTTCCACCTCTTTCTGCAAAGAAAAAAGAAAAGCATAAAATAGACGATACTTACCGGGTGATCCAGAGACCGATTTTCGCGAAAGTCTCACGGCTATGATCGAAAACGGCATGAAACCCAACAACTTATCGAAGTCTGGCCCTCGAAAGATCCCCTTAACGAGCCGCTCATAAGCCCTGCGGACGGGAGACCAGAACTGGAGAAGCGATGGGCAGACATGGAAAGGTCCCATGCTGAGGACATCTTCCGTGAGGACAGTCAAACGGTCCAGGATATCCTTCAGCTCGCTGTCGTCGTATTCGAACTGCTTCCCTGGTGTCGTGGAGTAGGTAGGGACTTTTCACATGTTCTGTGCAAATAATCTTTTTGTGCAGTGCTTAAAGATTTCGTTCGCTGGGGTACCCCATCACCAGGAAATTTGTGAAATCCTCTTATAGTTACCTAGAGCCAATTCTTTAGGCTTTCTACAGGTACTTTACGAGACCTAGAGGAAGACATAGGCCTACAAGTTTCTCCGAGCTTAATTGTAATACTGTAAACCGATGCATCTTTCCGTTATAAATCCCATTGCTTTCCTACATACAATATTTTCCATCTCAATATCGTGACATTTTCTCTACATCTTCCAAGGGCATTAAACCAGTTTTACTCGCTATCAATCGAAATAGGCGAACCCGAACGTTCTGACCTGCGGTCAGCTTCCAAATCATGTTGATTATGGCCACGTTGATCGGATGTTGAAGATCTTGGGGGTTGTCCTTATTCCGTTTGATGATTTCGCAAATCTTGAGGACTTCCTGAAGAATCATGGCGTTCAATTGCGGCGCCTTCGCGATCCCAAATTCCCTGAGTACCTTCATCGTGAATCGCCGATTCTCGTGCCATAGTTTTCCGCTTGTTGCCAGGAGCCCTGCGTCAGATGCCTTGATGAAGCTTCCTCATGGTTCCTTCATTTGCATAAATTTGCTAGAATCGCGAGCCGCTTGCGATATGGGTGCGTTCACTCTTTAGGCGATACAAAGTTAGCCTACTCGCAACTTTACACCAACTGCATACTTATTCTTGAGAAGTCAGCCTCATACCGCCATCTAGCGCACAAAAATTGTGATTCTTAAGGTAAGCTCATGGAATGTTTAGGCATTCTAGCTTCCATGAGTCAATCGACTTGGTATGTCCATTGGCAAAAAAAACTTCGAATGTTTTCTCAGACAATATAGGCTGGTGTTGGGACGAATACGATAGTTTTTCTAACAGCGGCACCCCGGAGATATCGCTCGAGTTTCCTCATGTTAGGGAACATCCGAAAAGCATGGCATTGACGATGTTTAAGTGTCGTCGAACTGACACGGTTGAAAAGAACCTCTCGTACGCTCGTCCTAACCCAAGAGAAGAGCATGGTATGTCAGCATTATGAAGGAAAAATTCAGCTGCACTTCTCAGGCTTGCCATTATAAAGCATGAACTGAACCGAAATGATGGAAAAACGAAAAATAAGTCCTTGGCCTGACCGTTACTGCCACTGGCGAATTGTCTGAACATGACGAGGTCGCATCTGTCGTTGAGGTTGGGTTTGGAGAATGCATCCCGTATGATGCTTCCTTCGCCGAGGATCACCAGGTCTTTCCCGGCCAGATACATGTAGAACACGTCGCCGTATTTCTTCTTCATGTGATGGAATTTCTCGTAGAAGCAGGTGCCGAGGAGGAAAGGCGCATAACCAAGGAAAGGGACGCCCCAGGGTCCTACGAAGTAAAAATCCATTCACATTCCACAAACAAGACGGCTTCGAAAGAGGCAGACTCGATGGGACAGAGGTCGATTAACCTCAAAGAGGAAGACGTGAATGTTTCTATGTTAGATTACATAATCTAATTGAGAAATTAGATTTTTTATAGTCGAAGATTGGAAAAAGATGGCATCTTGTTCAAGTAGGTGACAAAATGAGGGTCTCCTTTAATGAATGGAGACCCACTGCTGGACTGGGCTTGCCCATCTTGTTTTTAAAGCAGTTGAAAGTATCGGGAACTGAGATATGGTACGTCAAATCCTTTCGTACGTTTAAGATTCACATTTTCATGTTAACTAATGCTAATGAAAATTTCCCCCCTTCCTCCATTTCTTTGGCACGAATGAGGACAGATTCTTTCAAGTCCTCCAAATAGAAGCGTTGTCTTTTTAGAAAGATGCGGCCCTTTCGGGAGTCTTTTTTTCTTTTTTTTTTCGGGAGTTTCTTTTCCTTAATTTCCTTCCTCCCTGCTTAATTTTCGATGCTTTTTCAAGCAAATTGCGATGCTCTGCCACGTCTCTGATAAAAGACGAACGCGTTGAAATTACTCTTTTGTTTGGGCCAAAGGGGAAAAAACCTAGAGGGAAGTGTTCTCAGTTTATTGCAATATGGCACAACCTCTATATTATTTATTATATTTGAATAGGGTAAAAGACCCAGTGATGGGCCTGTTAAGGGCGAGTACTCAGTGATGGGCCACGCCGCAGGAAAATTCCAAAAACTAGGCATTTGTTCCATGACCACCTCTGAAGTGTGTATGTGCTTGAAGGCTGCTAGCCTATGTCTCAACAGGGGTAGGCGTACTATGGAAGCTTAGCTATTGGAATTTTTATGTGCTGTGGCCCATCATTGGGGACCGGTCCATCACTGGGTCTTTTACCCTATATCAATATAAATACCATTATGACTGTTTTCTCTAATAGATATTGGAAATAATGGAGCCCATTCGTGCCTCGCCAATTTTTCCCAGTAGAAACTCCAACTCGTACATAAAGTTACATATTCAGAAAAGATCCCCATATGAATGAGTTATCTCTCGTCTGAGAGAGGGAAAAATATTTAGTCTGAATGGTCTATCTTGCAATGATCTGGGTTATATAGTTCGTCCAGGCCCAGGAAGGACCACTTTTAATCCACAAAGAAGCTTCAGTAGCTCGTTTGTCATAAACAAGCCCTCAATCCCTTCCTTTACTCTCTTTAAAATGTCACTCATTCCCACACCAAATCACTCAAAATGCGACTTCTCACAAAACGCTGGGCTTCCAAGTCTGCCTTTGTGACTCGTTTTATGACTCGCTTCAGTCTCATGCTGGGTTGTGACAGACTTTGACAGGTTTTTTTTTTTTTTTAAAAAAAAAGGACATCCTATTAAGGGTTCATACCACCTGGTCCTTTCTGGGACTGGACGGGCTATAGAACAGCTACTGGGGATCGCTAATGAGCCACACGGTTTGCAGCGCTGAAACAATAACTCTGTAAATGCTCTAAATGTACGAAGTAAATGCTTGAGGGCCAGATGGCTTTCATTCCCTTTCCTCATTTCGAAGCAGAGCCCATATTCAATATTTAAACATATGTACTAGCGGCCTGCGGCCCCTACGCTGGCTGTCTAATGAGCGGAAATTTTAAAATGTTTACATAAAGATATGAAGCAGTTCGCCGAGTTCAAATCGCCAATGTCTTCGGAATAGTTAAACGCTCTCACAATTCCCGATTCATCTCCTCTTTCCCAAGGTCTCCACAACGGCATGATACTCAAATCTAGGGGAGCACTTGTTATAATAGCTGAGCAACTCGTACTGACGACGAAGACAGGAGAGAACCAGCAACTGAGCTGCTGGTATTTCCTCTCCCTATATTTGATATCCCTTCTCTTCCCCGAGGGAAGTACTAAGTGTCCTTCAACCTCCCCCAGTCAAATATCTCTTTTCCCGGTCACCCTCTTGTCGGGAATCCAAGCCAAAGGTCTATTGCCCTCATTACTCATCTTATTGTTCTCAGAAACTGTTTTTTTTTTCCCCGATACATGGATGTATAGCTCATTTAATAGAAAATTTTTAAAGAATTTATCCATGATATGGCTGACTTTCACAATCTAAGTGCATCAAAAGTTATAATAGGGTTTCTGAGATGCCCCGTTTTGCTGAATTTGGCGGCAGCAATGTATCATAATTCCTCATAAAATCACTTTTACAAAATTCATAGTTCACAAATGATTCAAAATTTGTTCGCCACATTACATTCCCACATATCCCCCCATTCTTACCAGCACCTTTCTGCAAACGGCTCCGATATTCGAGGACAGACTTCTGTCGCTCCTCGGTGATGGACTTTCCTTCCTGATAACAACAGACGCACAGCGTCCGTTCTTCGACAGAGTACCGCCATGATAGCAGAGTTCACAAGACAAAGACACCAAAAGTTTATAGCAAGAAAAACGGAGATTTTAGGCCAACAATTCGGTAAACGGTACCACAAGGTCCCACGGAGACGCAGGTCGCGATTCGAATAAGCGCGAAAAAGGCACTTCGGATAATCCACCATAACTTTTGACACACTGAGAGTTTGAAAGTCAGCCATAGCACAGATAAATTCTTTAAATATTACCTATCGAAAGAGCTGTAGCTCATGGTTTTGAGTTGAACAAGAGCTGAGATATTCAAATTTAATAAATTAATCTTAAATGGAATAGCCAGTACATTTCTTCATGAATTTCTTAGATTTTTACATGGATACAAACTCAGTCAGCAATTTATCCCCTGGCCAAGTGTGTTTATCTCAGCACTGTCAGATGTTCCAAGCTTGGCCCACATTCACGAGCCACACATGTACACGTGCGCCATAGGTATAATATCCATAGGGTGTAACCTAATTGTCCGCGTTTTCTATGGCACCCAGTCTAATACATCTGTGGGCCAAGTGTGACTCGTGTGTATGGCAAGTCCGCGACAAGCAGAGCCATTATAACAGTGATGAGCAACCTTTTTTGCCTGCGGGCCGCAAGCGAACCTTTCAGCTTCCCGGCGGGCCGCAAGTATTTTTTTGAAATAGTGAATTACAGGCTTCATGCCTGCTGAGTACCAACACCAACATAATCGAAAGCGTGGATTAGTAAACCAGGTGCTAAGATAGCAAATTGTTTTATTTGAATGCCCACGAAGATCATGAATATCATGTTTAATGCGACACTTGGCACTCTTTTTCTTTCACAAGTTTTTCTGCGTCTGACTCAATGCGAGACGTTGCGATGCGCAGGGAACTTTTCACGCGTTCATCACCCAGCCGATTTCTATGCTTGCTCTTCAGCAAATTCATTTTTGAAAAGAATTGTTGACATATATAGGTGCTGCCGAACAAGCTTGCCATCTTCAAAGCATGGCGTGATAGTTCCGGAAAACTCCTTGCTGGCAAGTAGAGCTTATAAAAGTCAAGAAGCGGTACATCACGGAATTTTGCTTTCAGTTCAGCACTGCACTGAAGATCAATAAGCTCCATTTGAAGCTCTGGAGGTGCAGTGTCAGCACTGACATCGAAAGGAATGGAAAAGATATTGAGGGCATCCTCACATCTGAAATCTTGAAAACGGGACTGAAATTCATCTTTCAGGCGCTAAATCTCTTCAGCATATTTCACAGAAGCATCTGGTTTCTCCTTCCTCAATGTTTCAAAATGCACAAGGTTATTGGAGCGAAGCTGTGATTCCCACAGGGACAAATTGTTTCAAACGCCTTGATTTGGTCAAACATTGCGTGGATGAGCTGATCCTTTCCTTGGAGCCACATGTTGAGTTCATTGAGGTGCTGGGTAATGTCGATCAAAAAAGAAAAATCGCACATCCAGTCATGATCACCAAATCCTTCACTGGCTTCCACTTCATATCTAAAAAGAGCTCAATGTCTTCCTTCAAATCATAAACTCGCTTGAGCATTTTGCCACGGCTTAGCCATCGCACTTCAGTATAATAAAGCACGTCTCCATAATCAGACTCCAAATCATTAAGTAGCTCTTTGAATTGGCGATGACTTAGATCTGATGAAATTAATCAGCTTCACAATAACTGCAACAACATTTGCCATCCTCAAAGATTTTGCACACAAATGCTCCTGATGCAACAAACAATGACATGCAATCAAATCATGACCAGTCGGAGCCTTAGCTTCTTGGGATATGAGAGTTGTCAAGCTGCTGTTCTTGCCAACCATTGATGGAGCTCCATCGGTTGCAATCTCCCTCAATATTTCCATTGACAGTCCCAATCGCTCCAGCACTTTCTTCAGTCTTCATACAAATCTGCACTAGTTGTTGGGCCCATCATTGCCACCATACTTGCCAGCTCCTCTGTTATGTTAAATTCGGCATCAATGCCTCGAACGAACACAACCAGTTGAGCTGCATCAGACACATCAGTGCTCTCATCCAGTGCCAGAGAAAACCACTTAAAAGTTGCAGCCCTGCATTTCAGGGTATCTTCAATGTTCTCTGACATATCATCCACCCTCCTGCCCACAGTAAACCTTGACAGGCTTATTTTTGAAATAATAGCCTTCTTCTCGGGAAATGCAACATCAGCCACGGCTAGCAGGCAAATATACAAATACTTCACCGTCTCGCCATCACTAAATGCCTTCATGCGTTTGGTCAAGATTTTGGAGATCAAGTAGCTAGCATGTACCGAAATGTCTACCTCAGAAGTAGCTTTCTTGAAAAGATTTTTTTGGCTTGCCAGACGTTTTTCAAATTCGTGCACCTTGTCTTTCCGCATCTGGCCCTGGAGAGTGTCGTATCTTGAGGCATGCTTTGCTTCATAATGTCTTTTAACATTATATTCTTTAAGAACAGCCACAGATTCATTGCAAATTAGGCATACTGCCGCTCCTTTAACGCTGGCGAAGAAATACTCTGTGGTCCACCTATCGTTGAAATTGCGGCATTCATCTCCAACTTTGCGCCTTTTTTTCTGAAGCCATGCCTGAGGTTTAGGACCTGCTACTCTTAAAAATAGCACAGAATAAAAAAGAGGAAACCGATAGATGAAAACCTTCCTAAGTATACACACGAAATTATCTATTCACTCTATATATCCGTCCCTACCTTAGCTGTGAAGGGGGGAAATTTTTTCATAAGTCACAAAATACCAAGCAAGCCACTTCCTCAAAGAGCAGTGATACACTGACCGAGAAGAGTGAAGGGATATTTGCAGCTGCGGCGGAAATATAGCTTTTATGTTTTATTTCTTGCTTCCGTTTCTCCTGCAGTGGGCAACTAAATCCTTGAGTGCACGTGCACCGGATGGCAAATGATAAGAAGAAAAAAAATTAAAATTCAGTCGGCAAAGCCCCGCGGCCCGCACATCAGGACCTCGCGGGCCGCGGGTTGCTCATCACTGGTTTACACCAAAGACATTTTGCTCTGGACATAACCTCATCTCCGTACACTTGTTTCAACATTTCGAAGACTTCAGTTGGTTTTTTCCCGAGTTTGATCATAAATTTCACATTGCTAATTTTTTCATAATATTTTCACCCATTTTTTGACGAGTTTTTTGACGATTAACACTACTTTAGGTAAAGTGGTACTGCTCTGCAATCACTAGAAGTATCACGATAAGTTTGTTACTGCAAAGACTTAAGACATGCACTGACAGGTTATAGCAATCGCCAGTAACCCAGTGTTGCCACACGCATTACAGTGTTGCCAGTCTCGTTATTTTATTGTCAGGCCTCTTATTAGCAAATCCTCGCGCAGGTGAACTTTAGAGATAGAATATAAGTGAGATGAAGATAATAATAATAATAAAAGAATGGTGGCAAATCCGCTCAAACGGTGAGAAAGCATAGCAAGCAAAGTGCAAGAGGAAGCAGTCAGTTTCCCTGTGGCTGCAAAAATACTACCGTTTCAATCCTGAAACGCCCAAATCTTCATCGCACTCGATCGCCTTTTTTTGCAGCGTACAAAAAATATATACATATTTTTTGGTCATATTTTTTTTAAAAAGAAACCAACTCTGCCAAGTTGGTTTCTTTTTAACCTGAGGAAATGAGAGTGTGGAGGTTTTCAGATTTTCGTTCAGTTTACACCGTTCTACCTAGAAAACGGCTTCAGCTTTCTTTGAGTTAATTGCGATTTTCTGAAGTTGGATCCTAAGGTGATTTTGAGGTAGTGTATAGGAATCAAACTAAAAAAATTATTATTTTTTTTCATTTGGGCAAAGAAAAAGTCGCATGTCGCCTTAGAAAAACCTTGAATTGTTGACCAAATTAGCTGAGCCAACCAGAGTTGACTTTTTTCCCTACAAACTTGCCAGTCTCATTTCCTTGGCAATTGCATTTCCCGTTGCAATTTCATGCTGGAAAGAAATTCACGAGCAATGGAGATCAATTTTGGAAAAAATAAAATAAAATGGACACCTTCACCAGTTCAAAGGCATACCTCGCCTCACTCCGTCCCCACGTGAGTCTGAGAAGGCCATCAAGGAGGAGCAGAATACCCAAGAATCTTATTTTTCTCATCGGAACCATCATACCATTCGAGACTTCCTCTCCAACATTTTCCAGGAGAAAACAGAAATTAAGGGAAAGGAGAGTTTTGACCTTTTCACCTTTCCTTCCTCCTCCTTCATCAGCGTCGTGAAATTCCGATATTTTATGACTGTAAGGGATACGAACCAGGGGTCAATTTTTTAACTCTGTATTTTGGCACATACATAACAGAAGTCAACGTAACTTTTGTCTACTTTACAATGTCAAGGCTGGAGAGATATGAATGAATACTGGTTCAAATGGATCATCATCGTAAGTATGATATTATGTAGCACCCTTGGCGTCGTGTTCATTCCTGTTTTCCTCTCTGGAAGTTTTTCCTTCTTTGGAATTCAAGATCAGGCAGCTTTTTCCTTGCCTTATAACATTTTCGCTTAATTATTCTTCGGAAAACAATGAGTTCTAGCAAACCACACGATGCAAAAGCCAGTTCGGAGTCACCCAGCGCCAGATCAGCGTTATTTCTCAAAACGCCATGATTGGCCATGAAGCATTCCTTGTTCTTCAAGTTAAAACTCCTCGGAAACGATATACGCCAGATACTCGTTGATTTGGACTGTTATACAAAAAGTTTACAGCAGGAACTTTCAACTCCTGGTATTGCCAGTTGCACATAAATATCAGGTCATCCCATAAGTAATGCGGTTTTTTCGCATTGCCAAACTTGGGTCTTGTTTATACGTGTATCTCTGTACATCTCATGGAATATTTCTGTGTTAACTTGTGTAGACGTTAGTCTTCAGTCTACGTGTAAGTTTTAACGAGTTAATAGCGCTCCGTTTTTCTTAGACGTTAAAAATAAGATGGAGGTGTCAGGGGAACACATTCGGCATTATGAATTTAAGAAAGGGAATAACGCGACTGCAGCCAGGAAAAACATTCAATATGTTTTTGGTGAGGAAGCTCTAAATGCGAGGAAATGCCAACGGTGGTTCCAGAAATTCAGATCTGGTGACTAGAGCTTAGCCAATGAAGCGCGTTAAGGCCGACCTGTTGAGTTCGATGATGACCTGCTGATAGCTACACTTGAAGAAGATGCTGCTGTAACAGTTGAAGACCCCAGAAACTCAATTCGACCCATTTCTCCGTTCATTGCCGCTGGGAAACATCCGGACAGGAAACGACGGGAAACAACAGCTGGGAAAAGTGTCAAAACTTGGAAAGTGGGTTCCACATGTGTTGTCACCATACAATCTTAGGGGTCGGGCAAACATATGCGCTTCACAGCATTCTCGTGAATTTCAAGCACCGTTTTTGAATAAACTCATTAGCAGGATATTTTTCAACTGTGGTTATCAGCAGGTCATCATCGAACTCAGCAGGTCGGCCTGAACGCGCTTCATCGGCTAAGCTGTAGTCACCAGATCTGAATTTCTGGAACCACCGTTGGCATTTCCTCGCATTTAGAGCTTCCTCGCCAAAAACATCTTGCATGTTTTTCGTGGCTGCAGTCGCGTTATTCCCTTTCTTAAATTCATAATGCATTATATGCCGAATGGGTTCCTCTGACACCTCCATCTTGTTTTTAAAGTCTAAGAAAAACTGAGCGCTGTTAACTCGTTAAAACCTACACGTAGACTTAAGACTAACGTCCACACAAGTTAACACAGAAATATTCCATGAGATGTACAGAGATACACGTATAAACAAGACACAAGTTTGGCAATGCGAAAAAACCGCATTACTTATGGGATGACCTGATATATTATATGTTTCGCACGTGGGGCAATGAGCATCTTACCACAATTCTCTAAATCGATAGTCCTCTTCCAACAGTATTCATGGAATCGTCCTATTTCGATCCCGATCGTCTTCGAACCTGTCCCTGCCGATCGGAAACAAAGCAGTACGTCGCCGAGACCAATGCTTTTTCAATGCTCCTCGTGTCGACACGCCCTCGTGCCCACTCCAGTCTATTCTTTTGCTGATATCTGGAAGACCTTGTCTTTAGGAGGTGCAGGGCATCCAGGAAATAATTCTCGACGGCGACGAAGATGAATGTAGGCTTTAGTGGACACGGAGGCATGTCGACTGGCGCGAGGAGCAGCGAAAAAGCGTTGGTCTCGGCGACGAACCGTTGTACTGGTTTGTTTCTGGTCGGAAGGGACAGGTTTCAAGACGATTTCATGAATATTGTTGGACGAGGACTATCGATTTAGAGAGTTGTGGTAAGATGGTATGAGAAATGATCAGCGGTCAAAGCATCAGTAACGTCGTCTGGTGCAAGGAGATGTGAAAACGAAATAATATTTACCTGCAGATCCATTTGGTCACATTTTTTCCCAAGCAGCGACTCCTCCCCGAAGCTGCAGACGCCACCATTCACCACAATCTCGCACACACGCCAGGCGATCCGGAGCCAACCTGGTTGTAATCGATGCCCAACCGTAAATATATAAATCCAATTGGGCATGTCTAAGTTGTTTAGGAATATGGAATTTTGCGGGCAGAAACTTTTTTTGGCCGGCTGTGCACTTGCCGCCAAGTAAGTTTATTGCAATTAAATGATAGAAAATGTCAACAGCAACTAGATGAAAAGTGCCAAGTAGGCCAAGTAACATTAATTCACTTGCTTGACAAGTGAATTAATGTTACTGGTATTTTACTTAAACAACCCGTGTTTTCATTAATATGTTAACATTTGCCCTCAGGGGCAAAATCAGCCAAGTTACATAAAGTAACTTTGTTGCCTTGCTCATGACAAGCGAATTCACACATCATAAAACTGACTTCATTGCATAAAACAAAATAGAATTCCAAGTCCAGAAATATGCCATTCATTGGGCTTCACCTGATCAAAATTTTGATCCCTGGTCCCTGTTTTGAAGGACTGCATCCCGCAGCTTGAGCAGATAGTTGAGGCTGCACAGGATCGTTTCGCGTGCCGGTAAGTATCGACAGACCTTGCCTCTCCTGTGTCGATGGGATGAGAAATTTTCAAAAATCTTGCACTTGAACACCTCGCCGGGCCGGGTGCAGCTGGGTAGTAAGTAGGTCCTCCATGCAATGCCTCTCATCTGACCACGCATCCCCAACTTATTTTTCCTTCCTCCTCTCTCAACTTCAGCTCGATGGAATCCTCATGTCCTTCCTCGACATTTCACGCGTCCAAGCATTTTTCCCTCCACTAGTGGGTTGGGTGTCAATCCACGACGTCCCGTGCTGCCTCTCGTCAAGCCCCATGTTTCTGCATTCCGATCTACGTTCACGGCTGCTGGCACCAGCCCCGTGCAGAAGGCACGTCCTGCTTCAAAACCGGCAATGCAAGTGCAGGCGCTGGTGTGTGCGTTTGCCACACAAGCGACTGCAACGATTGGAAAGTGACCAAACCGTAAGTCCTCTCATCCACACGACCTACTGCATGCAGTTCGTCGGTGCTTGTTGCAATCATCAGGCTGCGAGGAGGAAAGGACAAGTACCGTCATATGGAAAGACTTCCCGTTATCACTAATATCGTATGGATTACGATGGACTCGTTGAATTCATGAAGACTATTGCCATACCCTCCACCCACTTACATCTCTGATCGCCTTTCCTGGCCAAAATGTTTTTTCCACGTACAGAATTTTAGCCGAGAAAAATAACTTAGATGCTAACGTTCCTAATCTTTCTTAGCATTTATTTTATCGAGAAACATAGCTTACATACGCGCCTCGTATTGATCTTTCTGTTTCCACTCCTCTGTCGCGACCTCTCAATGACTTCTCGCCTCCTAACCATACTTTACCACAAATAGACAAGAGGATGAAAATGTCCGGAGAAAGGTTTACAGGTAACACTTCACTCAAACGTTAGATGAAACCCTCGGCGTCGTTTCTCAGCGTCACCCCTTCGCGCGTTGCTCTTCTAGCCGTACAATCTCGTATGTATTATACGTAGCCGTATAATTATTATATAATGTATAATCTCGTACATTCTAGTTTAAAGTGGACATTTCCTTCCCGGCCATGCGAAGGAAAACAGGGTGTCGAAGTAGGAAAACGGCATTGTCCCAAGGGGGTAAGTACCTTCCTTTTCCCTCGCATTTTCGAATAAACACTCACAGCACACTATAGATTTTCAGGCAACATTGTTGCATTTGGGAAAGGAAAGGTTGAGGCAGTTTACCTGAACATCAGTGGCATCACTTTTTTTCGCCTGGAATTAATTCTTTGCATCTCGTCTTTTGAGCAATTGTAATCGTCTCACGATTACAATTGCTCAAAAATAGGCTAGCCGATCCCGTACAGTCCGTGCACCGATGAGAATGAGATTTTACATGTGAACTAGGGAAATAAGATGGGGTCTGCAAATCCCAGCCCATCTTTCCTTTTACGCTTTTCATGTTTGGGCCAAGGGGAAAATCAAGAAAAATGCTTATTTCCCCTTACAATGCCCTACGCCTTGGCTAGGGAAAACTTGCGGAAAAGTAACATCAAACTGGGCTTTATCGTAAAGGAAAACCACACAAGTCACTGCATCGTCGTCTCACTGATGCCATCCCTTCACCTCTAAACCACTCAAGTTCAACATCTCAAAGACTTATTTCCACTACGATAGGGATTGGAAGGTCTGGTATAAGTGAAAACCTCGAAATTGGTTTTCCATACTGCTAAATTGACCCATGCGATATTGCATGTGTCTTATTGTTCCCAACTAGCTTCATCACCCCATGTTGTCTGTCTCGCATGCTCAGCCCAGTAGTTCAGATAGCCTCTAGAGAAGCTATCTTCACCACGACATGGAAACCGAATGGCACCGCCTATAATCACATCGCCGCCATACCGAGACCCATTTCTAAATAATAAAACTTGTCAACTACTCTTCCTATCTCCATCCACGGTGATGCTCACTGCCTGGGGAAAACTGAACCCTTCCTCACAAGTCACGAGTGCATTTAATCCAGACTCATAGTCAAACGTCATTTGTGGGTTCGACTCGCTCCTTACATGTGCCCTTGGTTCATGCGTGTTGGTGTGCCTGAGTACTCAATGCCTTCACCATGTCTTGCGAGGCTGAGGTGTGGCGATGTTGCAGACAGACATCGTCGCCAAACCCAAAGCGACCCATTGCGTTTGGAGAAACATCTCCAAACACATGAGCTCTAGCTTGACGTAATCACAAACTCAATCTCCTCACAGGGTTGATAAGGGAAATTTGGGACTGAAGCAGCCACCCCCAGCTGGTATCAATTGAATTACTGCAGTGTTGAGCCACAGTATACCTACCAAGAAAATTAACGCATAGGATTCCAAGAGTATCACGAGGTAGTCACCATGCCATAAATGCTTGGTTTTCTCCTCTAAAAAAAAAAAAGAAGCGTAACAAGGCAAATGGAATGTATGTATTTCCACATATGATGACTATGAGGGAATAAGTTAACAGGGAGCACTAATGTAGCACATGACTCTCTTCTAGTGGCTAATGGAATACATGCAAGCACTCTCTCTCTCTCTTTCTATGCAACTTTTTCTTTATGCACGTGCAACGGCAGGGACAGCGCCGGGTGCAGTGCCAGGAGGGCTCCCAACCTCTCTCTCCAGCTGCCGGCCCAGGTACTCCCTATTAAAAATATGGGAAGGAACCACAAGAGTCATTAAATCCCCTCTGTGCCATCACTTAATAGGTTGAATGAAGCAGAGCTAATAAACCATCCACTTGCAAGGAGAATATCAAAACGGTCATTCTTAACAGAAATGTACAATGTCCATGCTTGACCATTCAGCAGCTGGCATCCAAGGAGGGAAGATTTTAAATAGCAATAAAATTAATCATCCATGAAGTCTGAGCTTCTCCAACTAAGGTTTGTGAATTTGCAGTCTGCAGGTTGTTGAGTGTGTACTTAGAAGACTGTGTCCCTCATAGACAGCATCCAGAATTGGCAGTTGTAGTAACTCTTGAGTGCACATTCACAGGTGCCATGCAGCACCAACAATTTTGCAGGCTTTTAAGTTTAAAATGTGCTATTCATCATCAGTGGTACACATCAGCTATTCAGCTCAGCTCACTCCCAAAAGGGCTATGTTCTAATATAGTCAATAAATTTCCAGAAGTAAAGCACCTCCTGATGGAAATGTCTGTTTCTTGTCTAAACCACAAGAATTGTGAAAGAGCACCAAAAAAAAAACTTGAAAAATATTCATGTAGCACCCTAATACATCATCTTGCTGCTCTTACTAATTTCACAATAATTAGAGCCTTGTAAATATGCGACCCCTACAAAAGTAGAAATTTCATACTAAGGAATTATTGCATCAGCCTAAAAAATGCTGAGCAAATATTAAGGTTTCACTGATCATCACATTAAAAAAGCACTAGTACCTCCATATCAACTCAATCTGGCAAGGGCTAATATGGCAAATATCTTGGCTGATATAGCTATGAAATACTCTAAATAAATTGTTCCTCCTTTTCTCTGGAATAAAAGGAAGAATAGGGAGGGAGATCAGTCATACAGATGGATGGATGTGATGGAAGGGAACAGCAGAGAGACTAGGGGGATTCAGGAGGGGAATCAGGAAAGAGGCTCACGAACACAGGACATCCTCCACTCCAAAAAACACATCAATGGAGGAATAATGACAACCTCCCCATTCTCCTTTTTCTTTTTTATTTATTCATTCCTCCAGATAGCTTATGAGAGTGGGACTCACCAGTTGTGGACCATCAGTTTCTGAACAGCAAGGAGAGCTTCATAACGAACATTGGGGTCAGTATGAGTCAGGTGAGTCATCACCAGTGTTTTCCCTCCCAACTGCTCCAGCACACTGTCAAAGAAAAAACTCATTCATGCATTCCATCCAAATGATCTGCAACAATGGAGACTGCTGCAAGGAAAGATATGTAACAGGTGGATAGCACAGGCTCCCCACCAGATATTTGACAGTACTGGTAAGACAGAGATGCATTTCATACATATTTTTTAATTATGGGACGAGTCTGCAATGCTTTTCAAAAGCAAGTTCTGAACCTAGTCATTTCTTAATTTTGTTAAAAAGCATCCTTTCTCTATTCTTCTAAAAAGGAATCTGACACACTTGTGATAGTACCTTTTCCAGGAGACAAAAAAATAGCATAATAAGAGATGGCAGGATTCTCAATAAGGAACTCACTGTTTCCCACGGGGATAATGTCGAACATATTCCCCAATGTCATGATTGGCCACACAGAGAACAAGTGGATCTTTACTTGTCTCAAGGAGGTGGATCAAGATCTTCAGAAGCTCATAGTTCTTGTCATTCAGTCGGCCAGCATTCTCACGCCAGAAACGGTCCGACCGGTGTACTGGACTCCATTCAAGTCGACCTGACTTCACCTCACTTGAATACTCATCAAATGAGCTGTTTGCACAGATTCAAGTGTTATCACTCCATTCAAAAAATTCATCCAAAACCTAAAGAATGGGAGTTTTCACTGGCAGTCACCTGAGATCCTGCACGGAAGCCTGTAGCTTGGCAATGACGAACTCTATGTCCTGCTTGAGTTCCTCATCTTCAAATGAGCGCTGTTGGAGGAGTTCCACGTGCTTCAGTACTTTGCATTGCACCATCGCCAAACAATTCTCCCTTTTTACACTATCTTCTTCAGGTTTCTCCAGCAAATTCTACAATAACAACATCAAAGGTGAAATGGGATTTATACAGCAAGAAGGAAGAACATAAAATTAAGGCTATCTGAAAGTAATATAAATACAACAAGGATAAAAGAAATGAAATTACATAAATGATGAAAGGAAATGACAAAGTATAATAGGAAGGTAATATTTTAGATGTGAAAGTAAAATTAGAATGCATCAATCAGGCACCTCACCCTGAGTACAGCCAGAAGCATACGTGTGACCTTCTCCTTAACGGACTCACTCAAAATGTCACCAAGAATTGGAATTACATTGAACCTGAGGAAAGAAAATGCAGAATGATTACATCCAATCATCCACACAAACCCAGTGTGCGGAAACACAATAATAATGAGGCATCAACCAGGCAACCAGGAATTTCTTATAGTGGGGGAGCACTGAAAGGATCTGAAGCCTTTAGGATTTCTTGAGTGATTAATTAAATTTTTTTTTTACTTCATAACTCTACTTTTTCACCTGATTTTCTTTTTCAGTGATACATCACTAAACATGAGAGAGTAAAAAAGACCCACTTATTCATCTTCTCAGCAAGCATGGGATTGAAGGTGAGGACCCAGAGACAGAAGGTGAGCTGGTACTGGATCTGGAAGTTCACTTTCCCGCTAAGCACAGTCACCAATGTACTGATTCCATCCACACCCACAAAAGCGAAGCGGTACTCATCAATGCGCAGGAGCATTTGCAGGCACCTTGCTACTGCCTGCATGTACTCGTTTCCCTGAAGAATTACTCAATAATTCAAACCTTTAGGATATTCTAAATTATAGGCATATGCTTCAACTTAGGGGAGTTGGGAATGATGGTTAAAAGTGATTCAGGCAAAAGACCCTGTAGCATATCTCATTTCATTCACTTGAATATTAATTTCAATCACTAACCCTCAGTTTAATTAGTTTTATTTCTGTTCCTTTTATTATTCACCTTTCAATTTCATATCATGCCTTTTTTCATTAGCTGCCTTTTTAGGAGAGTCCAGCATTAGGCAAGTACACCAATGAGAAAACTTCTTATGTCAATTATAGCATGTACACAGTGATTTTTGTCAGTTGGATCTTTCTTGGGATTCTGAAATCTCATTGAATTATGTACCTGTGATAAACACACATTCTTAAGGAGGCCCATTCACATTGCATCCAAAAGCCTTTGGCATCAAAAAGAATCTAGCAGAAATTTACATTCTTTTCATGCTGACTGAAAAAAAACTTCTCTCATCCTTTCCTGAAATGAGGTATTTTCTTCAAACTCAGATGACTTGTAAAGTTGCATATTCCTATAGTAAGGAGTAAGAAATTCCCACATATAAATCCTAGAGAACAATGGACTACATGACAGAAAATTTAAAATAAAACATGGTAGGTCTTCTCACTCCTTCCCTAATTGGTAAGTTCATGATAAGTTGTACAATGGAGGTAGTGGCAAAAAATGAAAGAAGACTAACAGGGGATCTCATCTGATCCTTGAGCCAGGTGAGATAGAAGTGAAGGTCTGATCCATCCATGAGCTCCTTGCCCCAACAGGCCATCTTGGCAATGATGCGGGATGTCATATTCATGATGAACCCATCGGGACGATTCAAGAGGTTCAAAAATGGGCTCCACACACTCTCCTTCTTCTTTTTTGAATACTCCTTGAAGATCTCCACCCGAGATTTGTCCTCCTGTTTCAGAGTAATGGGAAAACATCTGTTTTAAAGAGATCTCACAAGTACAAAATTCATCATTGAAAAAAAATTATGTGAAAAGTCAATATGATTAACATAGATTTGGACAGACAATGAGTATTCCTTAACCCTTAGAGGAGGAACCATGCTGCCTTGGCTGACCTGGAAGAGGTCATCAATCATGACCAGGAGATACTGGAGTGTCTGATCCTTTGAAATGTGTCCAAGGAGATTGAAGAATGTCTTGGCACACTGAGCACGATTATCCTGCAGGAATAATCCTCGCTTCTCATCAGTTGTGGTCTCAAGGTTTGTGATAAAGTTGAAATCCTCCTGGCTGATCATCTGAGACCTGGAAGACATGGAGGTCAACATTAAAGTAGAGGTCCACTGGCAAAATTTCCATGACATCTAGTAAGGTCAGGTTTGTCAGGCTAATAGCAACAGACAGGAAATCCACGCACAACTAACTGGGAAGTTCTGTGGAGGCCTAATATATTTATTAAAATGTAAAATATTGGTCCCAACCATCAAAACATTCACAATGGAATGCATCAATATTTTTGCTTAAGATGGCATGAACAATTTTTCTAAAGAGCATCATGCATCTTTTATAATTGATATTAAAGCATAGAAATGAGTAAGATAATGATACTGCATGTCATTGTAGTCTCCAATTGTTAAAAAATTCAAGCACCATAACTTTTGAGAGGAAAAAAAGATGCAGACTTCTTCTGAATGCCCTGTTGTGAGAAGGGCAGGTCAACCTGAAGATTCTTAGGCACCTTTGCTAAGTATTAACATATAAGCCCCTCCAGATCTTCATGAGCTAATGGAAACCCACAATAACTAAACTGAAGCCCTATATTAAGTGTTATATTGACTTTGCATTCAAACTGCTTCTCAATTGGACCTTCCAGGTTTTCAGCAGGAGCCTTTCAAATATCAGTCTGTATGGCATGCCTGTGCAAGGAGAACTGAATGATGCAAGCACTCACTGCAAATAAGAACGCCAGTTGACCCTCTGACTCCGAATGTCAGAGGCTCGTTGCTGCAGCACACTTGTGGCAGTCACAACATCTGAAAGTCAACAGGAAATCCAGATGAAGCTCTGTGAAAATATTACAATACATATGGTCATAGGCTTTGGCATGACAAACCAAGTGTAACCCTGCATTCTAGGCCAATGATGTCCATCCAGAAAAAAATTCCTAATGAAACAATTCATATTGTATCCTCCAATATCCGCGAGCAGCAAGAAAACGCGAATTTTTTATTGCAGTTTTTTTCATCTCTGGAGAATTTTTCACTATACAAAATTAACACATACAATGCGCAAAAAAATCTGATGAGGAGAGCCTCAGTCAGACTCCCCCTATTCCTCGCAAATCCATCAGCAATACTTTTCCCGTTTCAAGGTCACAATCATACTCATCATATTGTGCCTATTTCGCTCGATTTTATCTGGCTACGGAATTTTAGCTTCCCAGGAACATTTTTCTTGCCCGCAGGGTATCGCGAACATAGCAGTTCGGAAGCATGATTGAGTTTAAAATATCGCGAAAATTTTCTGGGTTACGGAAGAAAATGATAAGGGGGACAAAAATCCCCATCATGGGCAGCCACCCACTCTTGAGCTGAAAAATTGCATAGTGAAATCGGTAAGTCTAAATGTGAAGTCATAAATTTATCATTACACATTCTCCCTTTCTTTACTAGGCTACACTATGCAGATTTTAGAACCATTTTGCTTGACTGCTTCGCAAACTATTTTTCAAACCGAGAACAAATTCCCAGATATGAAAGTCTGAAAGGCTCTTATAAAGAAGATAATTCGTACATGGAGTACACAAGAACCTATTATGAGCCATTGCTTTTTCTAGCATAAATCAATGATATAAAATACATAAAGAAATATAAATCTGCATGCTGATGATACACAAGGCTTTCTTATCGCTGAAATCCCATTATAGAAATGAAGACAATCCTGCAAGATATCTTGAATCTTTAAATAACTGTTTATATATCACTCGGTGTCGCTCTTTCGACAGAGAGAAATACACATTACTCGCGAGATTATTCAAAGTATCCAGGAAAAAAAAAAAAAACAAACAAACAAACAAACTGAAACAGGCGACTTGCAAAATATTTTAAGGTTAGTTTGGGCGGACACTCCCAGTTCAACCTGGCATCTACCCATACTCTATATTAGTGATCCTCAGGGGTATCCGGTGGATTTTATCTAACTGGTTTCTGTAAGTCAGATTCTATTGAAAATAAGAGCGTCGAGCCCTTTCACTCGCTCTCCTCCCCGCAGTCTCATTCCTTTATTTTTGGCATTTCCTGTAAAAACGGAAAGCATGAGAAACGATAACTCCTCCTCCTTGCTTTATTTCCGGATTCCTGCCGAGCCACCCGCATCCTTCTCTCCTAGCCCGCCACGAACAATTCAATCACGAGTTCGAGAAAAATTATCCAGTAAATCAACCACAGAGCAAAGGTAACATGCAAGCGTATGACCCTCACACCCGGCATCGCGTCCAACCGATTCAGGTTTCGCGATGAACCTCTGCAGCGAAGCGCCCCGGGCGATACGAGATCCATCTCTTTAATTCTTTTTCCGGTTAGCATTTCTTGTTTGTTTTTTTTTTCTTGCCCTTCCGATCGAGAAGATATGCGTTCTCAAGGACTTTCAGTCTCCAGGGTTTTAGCTAGGCCTTCATAAATGGGTGTAATTCGGAGTTTTCGTTGCCGTTAAAAAGGAAAAAAAAAAGCAGTTCATATCAAATGAGCTTATGCAAAGTTTTTCTCTCTTGGCATATCCTCAACCGGCGAAGACTGACTTAGAACTATTGAGGCCATCTCAATGCAAGCTGTGTCGTAATATGGACTGGCCTGCCGGCCGAGCACGTACACGAGCCCGTATGCGAGTCATCTATGAAGAAAGGAGCAAATAGCACGAATTTGAAACCCTTTCTCTCCCATTCCACACCTCCACGTGCTTTCTCTCGCAAATGACGAACCCTCAATTTTGCTCTCGTCCATCAGTCTATCACTCTCTCATCGGGTTTTCTATCAATGGGCAACGTTGGCAAGTACTCAATCGTTACCTCGAAGTAAGGTTTCTGAGCAATTGCTATTCAAATGTTAATTGCACTTTGAGAAAGAACTTTCTCTGCCTTGAAGCCCGTTAAATCATGACAGATATTGCCTGAATGTCTCATCGCCGATACTTAATGACGCTGACTTATGTCGTGGGTCCTCTTCCTGGTTTTCACAAGGATCGTGAATCGCGCCCGTGACATCATTCCCCATAAAGTTTCCTCAAGCGCATTTTTTTTGCCATCCTCAGATTTGATTAGAAAAACTTACCGGAGGGGGGGGGGGGGGGGTGCCCCCGTCAGAGGTAATTAATTCAACGAGCCGCCCGTTTAAGAAATTTCCAGGCTAGAACACAGATCTCGTTCCCGAAGGATTTCTGCTCCTGTTTCATGGGAAAATTCAGGGGGGAAACAGAACTTCCATATCACGCTGCCCTTCCACCACTTTCTTTCCTTCTGGCCTGACGGAGTCTTTTTTTTTTTCTTCTTGTAATAACCAGATACTCTGACTCAGGAGGTCACGTCTGGGTTCTCAAGGACCCGTTTAGAAAGAGGATATCTTTCCTCTGTCCTTCGATTCAAGTCCTTAGTCGTGGAAAGCGAGACAGTGGCGGCTCGTGATACGAAGGGAAACTTTCACTAAGTTCCGACAGTAGTATAGTTTCCCTTGAACTTCAATTTCACTTCGTGCATTCGAATACTTCACGATCACCGGTCAATTAAGTGAAATTGTGACGCCTAATCTCGACTCGTACCAAACAGTTTCCAACCAGGCATATGCATAGAGGCACTGCTTCAGGCAGAATTAAACACAGGTTGCACCTTACAATAGCGATCAGGGCGAACAAAGAGCATACCAGAGTAATTGATAGGGATAAAATCTTGTTAGCATCCATCATTGGAGTAACATACTTTCAGCAAGCATATCATAAATTTCTTGCTGCTACATCTAGCTTACTAGACCTTCAAAACACTTCAAGAGGAAATGAAGATATTAAAACAAGGCAACAGTAGAAAAAAAGATCTAATGTATTATTTGGCTGTGTAAAATGGTGCTATACTTCTGATGCGAAGGAAAACAAAATTTCCACAACAGCTTTGTGTGACTACAGTGCCTAGGCCAATTTCCCTCAATTACAGAAATGCCAATTAGATTTAACAGATCTCTTCCCAAAGGAGAAGTATTTACTGTAGTATGTCAAATTTGCTTTGTGAATTTCTTAGGACCTTGGACGATGATCAAGATTCTCAAGCTTCAATAAGACTGTCCTATATATATATAGCTTGTCAAAAATGAATGATGAATTAATATGAACTAAATACAATCTAAAAACATGCAATTATATAAATAGACAGTTTACAGGCCTGGATTGAATACATATATTCTGGGACTAGCAATGCGATTGTCTGAAACAAGGCATTAGACCAAGGCAAACCTGCAGTAGGTTCATGCTTACCTCCTCTGTCCATTTCTTCAGGGAATGTAGAAAGGACTGCATTCAATTGCTTTTTCATCTCCATTCTGGAAGGCTGTTCAACTATTGCAGAGAACAATCAGCAGACTCTCTCGTGGACTCTGTCAAGTCTGACCACAACAACAACTTGTAGATCTAGGCTAAAAGGCCTAGCTGCACCCTTCTGCTAGGGATATAGCTGCTCCCTCCTGTAAGAAAGGGAACTCTTTCAATTGCAAGCAGGCAGAACATAACTCTTCTCTACCTGATTGAACACAATACACCTCATGATCAACCTATTGGCTCATGGAGCCACATTAAAATTGTAAACTGCAAGAATGATCCTGGGCTAGGCCAATCAAAAAGAATGGAGGTCACCAATGCACTACCTAAAATATAAGGAATTTTAATAGCAAGGCAGGCAACAAGTATAGTATTTATTATTGTTTACTCCCTACTAAAGTGGGAAGTAAACAATACCACAAGCAATATTTCCCAAGTTAAAAGTTTATGGCCTGGGCCTCCAGCAAGAGTTCATGAGGAAAACAATTTCTAACTGCAACTGCCCTGAGATCTGTAAGTGAAGGAGTCAGGAGAAATGAATTATAGGAAGGGAGATGTCAAGTGTTCTAAAATAATTTTCCTTCATGAATTTAAATTTGCACAATTCCAAAGAAGTCGACAGTTATAGTTAACTTATCACTGTTGCTTCTGTATTTCTAAAACTGTGCTGCCTCAGATAGAGGAAAGGAAGAGTGATGCTGTCACTTTCCTTCGTATGGACTCCAATACTTGAACTGGGAGGAGCTGGAAATATGTCATGTTTAGGTTTTAAAACGATTCTTTTTTTCCCCACAGCAGAACCATATCTCTCAATAAACACGGCTGATAAAAAGAGGCAAACTCATTTTATCAACTGAAGCCAGGTGAGCCTTAAGAAAGGAATGCTTACATGACCATCATCAAAATTTTTGCAAAGTGCGACCACGCGAGGAAAGGCACAGAAGTCTAAGTTAGGAAGCCTTCGCAAACAAATGAAAATCGACTACGTCAATAATAAAAGTTCGGTCGAAATTTCAACTCCGCCAAACGAGCGTAACCTCATGTCTGTACAAGGCCTAATCCGATTCAACCTCCTTCCCGAGCCTTCGAAGGCTGACTGGGCTCTGGAGGGTAGATGCAAAAGGCATTCAGCAATTGCTAAGGGATTGCAGAGCTGGTTATATTGAAAAAATCGGTGAATCTTATACCTTTTTCGTGATAGGGTCACTCACCAAAGTTGCCCACCAAGTGATACGAATCACGTGAGAAACGCAACCACACGGTTGCCGTATTGTATACTTTGGCTAGACATCCCTATAGCTAATAGCAGCATAAAATTCTTGAAACTGATACTTTCCCATGTCAAAATGTTATAATTTTATCCGACTGAATGAAGCTATAACACGCATTTCCTTTTCTTTGGTCAAGAGGGATTGGCTGAAAAGGTTTGCTCCACAGGTCAATTTTCCCTTCATGACATCTATGGTTTAAATGTCAATGGTGCTTACCACAGACCATGCTGTGTTCTTTTGGTGGTGGGTACATTCAGCACAAGAGAAATCATCAGGCCTGCTATAGAGGGGTCGATCGTATTTTGTTAGATGTTCATAGGCCTAACCAATACATGCATACAATCTCAAAGTGCGTGATTTGGGAGATCCTCAACCTCCCAATATTTAGATTACCTTTCCTTAGAATTTCCAATATTTTGATTTACACTCCCGCCCAGGCCTGTGGTGGGCTCAGATTATGACAGGAAGGAATGGGCAAATGAAGGAAAATAATTTTACCCTTTATTCCTTCATTTGCTTTTTTTTCCTTTAACACACTTATGCAATGCTAAAAGTAAAGCCTGTAGTGATTTGCATGTGAATTCATGCCACCTTTTACATTTTACTGTTACTTACATGGTACTTTCAAAGAAGTCTAGTTATGTCTCCATTGATGGAGGTAATGCTTGACCTATGGCTTTCATTTCTTACAATATTAGATTAAGGTGGAGCCAGCCAGACCAGACTGAGGTCTTCCTCCCCATGGGTTTGCACGCAGCATTTCGAAGACATGGGGAGATTTGCTCACAGCACCCATGGGAGGTGATCATGGTCCTTGTGACTGCAACTCTTAGCATGATGTTTGCTGCAGAGTCAGAGCAAAATGCTAGGTTCCCTGAGACAGCTTTGGTGAGTTCAGGCATCAATGAGAAGACAGACTTATGCTGCCGTTGGTAGACATAATATACTAAATACATTTTGCCCCCCTTGCCAAGATCTGTGTTTCTGAATCACTAACCAGTGGAGTAGTAACAGTCCTCCATTAGCATTTTTATGGTTCATAAGTTGGCTGGTATATTTAGATATTTAGCTATAATATTACATTTTTAGAGGAAACTAGTCTGTCAGTTTACTTGCCCTCACATACAATAGCCTCCCCTGTACACAGCTTGTCATCCTTGAACTTCCAGTTGCTTAGGTTACTTTGGTTCTCTTCTCCCCAAAAGGACATGTCTTCAAAGGGTTCAAACCCCTTGAGGGCTTTTCCTTTTGGAGAGGGATGAGGAGAAGGAGAAGCAGTTGCTTAGTCTTTGCCTAGTAGCTTCATTTATCCTGTGTAAGGTAAGGTGTGAATATGGAGGAAGTATATGCTCTGGAGTGCGCTAGCCAGCATTAAGAGGTGCCAAGCATTTACCCTCTCCCCCCCTGGTCACTCATATTTTAGAGGGTGGAGGCAGAGGAGTGTGAAGGGAGGAGATATGTCATTGAAGCTGAAAACATTAAATTCCATGACACTTTGCATAGCTGAACTAGTCTTTGATGGCATAAAGGTTGAGACCCACTGGCCTCAATTGAACTCTATGGGGAAAAGAAACTTCAATATAGGGCTATTTCTATGTCTGCTTAACACATTGTTGGTCTAGTCCATGTTCTAGTGTAAAAATAAATTATGTAAGTTGCATAGGAATCCTGGTTACTTGCATATTTCATTGTGTTTATTCTTCTAGGAATATGCTGGAGCTGATGCTGTGATCATGACTGCTATTCGCTGTGTTGCTGTTCTTTACTCCTATCAGCAATATAGGACCATTCAAAAATCAGGTTCCAAATATCTACTTGGTGAGTTTTTCAAATTCTAGTGTTGACTGAGGTCTAGCATGACATACACAATTGTGAAGCATGTTCTGATGTGCTCAATTTAAGTGAATCAGATGATGGGTTTTTTTGGTCTGCTTCAAAAGTTATAACAACAATCTGATACTCAGGAAGTGTATGGTTGGTGTCTTAAAGGTCTACTAGTCTCTGAATACCTTTTACTATATTTTCCATTAAAAATTTTCTCTAAATTTGGTCTTTCATTGCCATGTAGTGCCATTTCTGACTCTTGAATGCAAGAACTAGTCATATATGTGCATCATATTACTTTCTGCCCAGCTTGAGTGACAGGTTTGTTCAGACACATAACATTGTCTCATGATCTTTTCATCTTGATGCAGGTATTGCAGGTGTATTCACAATTTTCAGTAGCTTTATGTTCTCAACCACTGTGATCAAAATGGGAGGAGGTCACTTCTCATCTCTGAAGTCAGTCACTCAGAAAGTGCATGCATCTATTTTTTTCCTCTTTTATGGTATATTGCAAAGATGCTTCTTCTTCCTTAACAGGGATGCTGTGTTCATATTTCTTCTCTTGATGGATCTGACTAAGGTTAATCTCCTTGCTCAATATGTTTTGATGAGTGAGACTCCATCCCAAGTAAAAAAACATATTTCATCTGGAATGGCTACTCTGGGTCCTGCTGTGACACTGGACACTCTGGTTGAAGCACTTGTCATAAGTGTCGGAACCCTTTCAGGTTGATGCAGCTTTGTCATCCTTTCTTCAGTTTAAGTTACAAGATAGATAAAGCCTTGAGAGATGTATATTTTGCTGTAGGAATTGGTCGCCTGAGATCCCTTTGCTTGTACTCAGTCCTTGCCGTTATCACAAGGTCTCTGGTTCTTCTCACATTCTACCCAGCACTCCTCTCTCTCTTTCTTGAAGTAAGTTAGCTGCAGTATCTGTGGGACTTCCTGCAAAACGCAAAACCCAAAAAGTTTATGACTTAATCAATTGTGCTTCAGTTGACACAATATCAAGAGACTCCTAAAGGACAGGAGTTGACTAAAGTCCTGCAGACCTTTGGTGGAGATGAAGGAAATCGTAAGGGAAATCCTGTCCTCCAACGAGTGAAGATCATCATGTCTGCTGGGATCATTGCTGTCCACCTCCATAGGTAAAGGTACCCATATATTTCTTTGAGGGCTCTACTAGTATAACTTAAATATGACAATTATTTTCTGAACAGGAGGATGATTCTGAGTGATGACAGTGATGTGATATTTAGTGATCTGAAGCTTCAGCTCCTCCATGATGTTCATCCTCAGCCCATCCATCCAGTCTTCAGGTTTCATTTTTCCAAATCTACAAACTTCTGTGGTCTTCTCCAATGTAGAATGAAACCACATGACCTTTTCTTTTCTCTTTTAAAAGGTGGTTTAATGCCAATGCAGATTCCCTAATGCTCTTGGTCATTCTTCTCACACTGATTGGCAAGTTTCTGCTAGAGAAACGAAATTTTTCTCCTTCTGAGATATCAGCTGTCTTCCTGCCACCACCAGGTAGATGTGTCTTTAGCCTCATTTAGTCTCTTTTTTTCTACTTTAGCCAGAGTAATATCTTTATGCTTGATCTTGAAGTGAGGGATGAGAGGAGGACAAGAGTGACCTTCAAGATTGGGGATGATTTTCCTGAAGATGCTGCTACTCAGACTGAAGACGTCAATGATGACTCTCCAAAAGAGACTCTCTGCGTGCAGTGCACCCGTAGACAAGAATCAATAAAGAAATTCTCATCTTCCTGCCTTTTGGGGGTCAACAGCCAGCACAGTCTTCCGGTGAGAAGACCATCCTTTGTTGAACGTAAACTCTTGTCAGAATGAAAAATGACTGAAAAGTTTTTTTTATTGCAAAATAATGTATACCAATCATCTTACTACTTTCAAAGCCAATAATGCTTCTGTAACAGTTTTGCACAATCCTGTCACAGTTTAAACCTCTTGGATTACAATATGTAGTTCCCTGGACCCACTGGCATGGTTAGAATTTTTTTTTTCTTCATAAATTTACTCTTGCAATTTGCCTTTTCTCCCTCTCTATTACATGTAAGAATCTCTCGCTCTCTGTTGTTGCATTCTTCTTTTCTCAAATTCTGTGCATATTGTGGCCTTATTCAAACTATGAATACAAGGTTCAAGATGTTCCATGAGAAGTAGCACTGAAAATAATCTTTAAGCATCTTGTTGCATCCTTTTCTTAGAAGAACACAAAGCCTGCAGGAGAGTCAAGAATATATGTCATCATTCATTTTTGAATGAGAACATGTATGAAAAAATCTGATTTCACCAATATCAGGGACTTGTTGATAGCAAATCACCACTGCTTCTAGTCTGTTGCATGTGGTCACGTCTGAGTAATTTGACCCAACTGCCTTATATGTCAATGATGTGATAAATATCACTCAGGGAGGGGAAGAAGTGATGTCAGATGGAGAGGTGCTTTCCCTGCTGGAGAAACAGAAGTTGTCAACATATCGGCTGGAATCTATTCTTGGAGATCCTGCAAGGGCTGTTGCCATTCGCCGCCTCTTCTTGTCTCGTCAGATAAAGGCCATTGCAAATCTTCCTTACCTGGACATGGATTATACACTTGTTAGTACTCATGATTATATGTCTTCCTTTTACAATGAATGCTGTAAAACTCCTTCATCAGAGGTTGAATTTTTTACAGAAACTTAAGAGATTCATCATGGCCTATATTCAGTGTCTTTTTTTAAATCTGTACTCTTTTTCCTTTCCTACTACTCTTCCTGTTTGTCATCCAACTGCTGTACAGCACCATTGTTTCCCTGGAGAGGGAAAGTGAAAATTCCTCAAAAATCACTTCCTTGAATTGCCAACGCCAAAAATATGAAAGTCATAAGGCAGGAATAATCAATGTGGTGGGAAAATGATTAAGAGTCATATTGACCAATACCATGGTTTGTCAGGGCAGGGGGAGTGAAAGAAACTGGACATGTGACTCAGACTGAAATTAACCATGCCTTTTAGCCATGGAATTTACTTTGGACACATTTTTTTAAAGTCTGAATTCCTATATTCCTTGTGTTTAAAATACTCTAAATTAGTTTCACCAAAAAACGTATTTTACAATGCAATTTTAGATTGACATCATGTCTCATTCCTAAATGACTTTTGTAAGCCCCAAAGAGTCATTCTCAAAAAAGTAGAAAGTGAATTTTACCATTTTTGAAAGTTTATTTGAATTTACTGGTAACCAGACTTTGGATTTCCACCATCCTTTTATTTTTCTTTAGGTGGCTGGAGCATGTTGCGAGAATGTGGTTGGATACTGCCAAATCCCCATGGGCCTGGCAGGGCCTCTTCTTCTTAATGGGAAAACTCATATGGTTCCTATGGCAACCACTGAGGGTTGCCTGGTTGCCAGCACCAATCGTGGCTGCCGAGCCCTATTCTTGGGTGGGGGAGCATCCTGTTTTATTGTTGGTGATGGAATGACCCGTGGGCCTGTGCTTCGATTCCCATCTGCTGCCCTGGCTGTGTATGTTCCATCTTATATCTCTTGTTTTTTTACTTTCAAGAAGGAACATGCATTGGAAATAGGATAATGGATGCTTCCAGTTGCATGCTACCACACCTACTGACTAACTCCCAAGATAGGAATGCCTCTCCACAGGAGAGCTTAGGGTTGCTTTGGCCATGACCTCAATGAATGCCTTTTTTAATATTCTGCTTAGCTCCCTTTTTTCATTGGTGCTAAAACTGTGGTGGGTGTGTTACCCTTCTACAAAGATGTTTCCATGAAGCATATCCCCTTAGGTAGATTATCACACATGTTGAAGAGCTCACCACACCAGATCCCATGCCAACATTATTTGGAATCTGCCACCAAATCTAGTTGCCTGTTTCTGGAGTTTTTTCTCAGGTTTTTTTTATTAATTTTTTATAGAAGAAATGAGGTTCTATGTACTGCAAAATCAGGTATCTTTGTGTGCTTATCTGTTTGCAAGGATGAGCTCCCATCAGCTTGTCTTCAGACACTACAAAGCTAGTCCCAATTCCATTGATTCAATCTAATATTCACTGCAATATGTGTTAAATTTAACATTGTTTTATATTGAATCCCTTGCATTACTTCTTACTAGCAACCATTTATGTTATACAATTTTAAAGTGATGCTTAATGTCATGAGAAAGAGGTGTGGAAGGGGAAGAATGACTCTGCAATGTATTAACCTCTGCTAGCTTCCCAGGTTCTTTCCTAATTCCTGTGTCATACCCCATATTTTCTCCTGTCTCTCTTATTCAGAAGACTCAAGGTTTTCTGTTGTATATTATGCTGTGCTTCATACTGAACCTCTTTTTCCTACCAGAGATGCCCAGAGATGGCTGGAAAATAAGGAAAACTTTGAGATGTTGAAGGAGTGCTTTGATGAGACATCTCGCTTCGCTCGCCTCAACAGGCTCCTCATTCGGGTAGCTGGTCGGCTACTCTTTGTTCGATTCCATGCCTCCACCGGAGATGCCATGGGCATGAACATGCTTTCCAAGGTAGGACATGGTGTCTTGTGGTGTAGATATTCCCAGAGACCTGGAGAGGATAAGGTAATAGAAATTTGATTGAAAAGTCAGGGAAATTAGACAGTCACTCAGTTTTCTAATGTGCCAAATTGGTGTGCTGTAGCAACCAAGAGTCAAAAACATTTTGGATACCAGAAATATTACTTTTTTGCCATAAATGGCTTCAACATTTCCCCATTTTCTGACATCATCAATTACTCAAATTACCACAGTTGTTCCATGAGATAAGTGTTCATTGATAACAGTTTGGGAAGGTGGAGGTATCAAGATGCTAATATAGGTCAAGGAAATTATCCCCTTATTGGGCTAAATGGACCTGCAAAAGCCTGGGAAATTTTCTCTCTAGTTGATCACTCAAACCAGATATCAGGGTAATGATTGTATTTGGTATTCTAGGGCACAGAGATAGCTCTGAAGAGGATGTTAGATGCCTTCCCCCAGATGGAAATTCTTGGTTTGAGTGGGAATTTTTGTTCCGATAAGAAACCGGCTGCCATCAACTGGTGAATCTCTCTGACCTGTATGAAGAGTCTGTACTTTCCTCAAACTTGATCTGATGTGAATGTTTCTCAATGGCCAGGATTGAGGGGAGGGGGAAGTCAGTGGTGTGTGAAGCCCGCATCCCAGGTAATGTCGTGAAAGATGTCCTCAAGACCACCCCACAATTCCTTAAGGATCTCAACATCAGCAAGAATTTCATTGGATCTGCCATGGCTGGGTCTCTTGGAGGCTTCAATGCTCATGCTGCCAATATTGTTTCCAGCATTTTCATTGCTACTGGACAGGTGGGTATTTCTTCTGCATGTTGGAATGCATGCATCAGAGTTGCATCTCAAGTTTAAGTTTTGCCTACACCCTACTCAACCCTACTACACTTTTGTCTGAGACCACTCTGTTGTCTGCAAGTACTACAACAAAATTTGCCCTATCCAAAAATTGACACATCTGTCAGCTGGTAAGCTGAAGACAATGATTTCTATTGCCTTCTTGTATTGCACCCTTATTACTAGATATGAACTTCAGATTTTGGGTACAAGAGACAAGAGTAAGAGGAGGAAGCCATGAGAAGGAACCAGTGTAAAACATTGAGAATTTAAATTATCATGGGGATAGAAGACTAGGTGGATTTGAAGAACGTGAAACCTAGGGCTGTAATTGTAAATTGTGACCTTTGCCCACATTACTGTTTAAAAAGTTTAACCTTTATGCATTTTATTTTATTTTATAACATATTTCCATGAAGGAGGACCTAAATACCTTTTATGCAATGCATTAGTAAAAAGTTTTATCAAAGCTCTTCATAGAGCTACCTACTAAGTGACAATTTTATTGAATACTATTTAGGTAATTTATACTTATTTTCTAAATTCCTAGTCTTAATGGCCCTCCTTCATGCGGAAAGTTTGTTAAACATAGTAAGGATAGCCCTTGTGCATCTTTGGACATTTTTCCTGCTTAGAGTGAAGTTAGAACAGGAATTCATTATATGTGGCAGAAGAGATCCTACTTGGAATGAGATTTTTTATCAAATGTTACCAGTTCCTCATGTAGTGACAGGAAAGCTCTTATCACTAATGGCTTTTGCCTGTTGAGAATTAATGGTTGTGGGGGGAGAGTATAAGGTGAAACCCAGTTTTAAGTGATCTAATGATATTGAATCCAGATAAATGTGTGGCACTTAATGACAAAGGAATGAATTTGCTGAGTTGCTGTAGGTGAAGTAGAGAGATTGTTCATGTTGCCGAGTAGTAAAGTAGGAAATGAATTGATGAAATTGACACCAAGTTGCTGGAAAGAAGGTAAAGAAGGCATCACCTCAAGAATAGGTGATAGGTTAGGAAGTAATAGGTTTGGTATGTCACTCATTGAAGCACTGCATGCCTTAGAGATTATTGATTGGGACATGACATAAAATCCCCATGTGTGATATAATAGCTAAGAAGTCACGAGGAAGTTATACTGGAAAGTCACTCTTGACAAATGAGATTCTCTCACCATGGTAACAGCATAAGTTTAGTCTACATGTTCTTGGAAAGGAACTCTGCTGTTCTCCTTGTTCCCTGAGAAGTGGATCTTCTTGTATCAAGCTCTCAAAATCATGACAACAATTATCTGCAAGATGCAGAGGGCCCGTCATTGGCCTTGTGTATAGGCCATGACTTTTCCCAATTAATGCATTTTTAACCCTATAACTACTGTTCTGGGTCCAATGAACCCTAATACAAATGTTTAGCCATTTGTGTTCACCTCATTGTAAACTGGATTATTCCAATACTTTGTGTATTTTCATGGAGACATATGATAGTAATTAGGCAATGTTTTTCAAATAAATTCTTTGGGAATGAAAAGGTGAAATAAAGAATTAAACATATGACCATCTGGGTTCTGGTAATTACAGGATTAATCTGAAAGAGTGTTGCCATCTATAGTCTTTTTCTTTCTTTTATATTGTTTGATTCATAGATTGCAATTCAAGGCTCTTGTTTAACTTCATGGGTCAGTGAAGTCTTTAATTTAGATAAGTCTAGTTAAGACTTTAAAATGATTTTTTTTTTGGTTCTAGGATCCAGCCCAGGTTGTGACAAGTGGAAGCTGCCTGACCCAAATGGAAGTGAGTGGGAATGATCTGATTGCATCTGTGACCTTGCCTTCATTGGAGGTGGGGACTGTGGGAGGGGGAACAATCCTTCCATCTCAGCGTGCAGCTCTGGGCATTATGGGCATTCCCCTTGGTGAGACTTTCTTTCCATATCCCAAGTCATTCAAGTGACCAGTGGCTCAGTTGGCCCTGGAGTCTCCCTTCTGTTTCAAAATGCTGCATAACAATATTAAATCCTACCCAACTTCATGGAATTTATTTTGGTATTGGAAAGTAACACTCCAATTAATATTGTTTGCTTGTATCATGACTGAAGATGCCATTTGAATTGAAAATATTACAATGCCAGCATGAATGAAAATTTTGTTTTTTTAATTATGTTAACCACATTCTGATCCCCTTCATGTCCCCAAGATTCCACAAAGTAGCTTTACATATCCCAGATTATACCGTATCTAATGGAAACATACTCATCAGTGTCTGAAACCTCAGACCAAGGTTCCCCTCAGACATGTAAAACCTGAAAAGTCAGAGAAATGGACATTACATTTTAAAAGTCAGGGAATCTTACCATTTCCTTGAATTCCTGGCCCAGAGTCTGTGTAAAATGGCTAGTTGCACGTTTAATTCCACCTAGGAAATGTGTCAGCCGATATTGTAGATATTACTTTTTGCTATTCTTCTTGTAAGATCTTGGTCACTTGTATGTAGGTGTTATTTTTCACCTGCCACAGAAAAGGGAGATTCTGGGGTTTTGAGTAAAAACAAACTATTATGGTATAGAAAGACTAGCTTTTTTTAATGAAAAAATTGCCTTTCATACTTGGTTCTCTTGTGTACAGTAATAGTAAAATAGGGATCGGAATTTCAACCCATCAGTAAAATACCATTTTAATTGCATACGTGTGGGTTGATGGAACAATCGTCTGTCCGTAGTCCATGTTGATTGGCTCAAAATACAGGGCTGGATGCTTTCATGTTCGAGCTCTTTTCGTCCTCAGTTTTTTTTTAATGAGAAGAAACAATTTGATTCATCACTGGCGAAGCCGGGATACTCTTGACATTGGCTGATTGGCTGACGAGAACCTCCATCGAGGGCAAATGTCCCTGGTACTAACGTCTCCGATGGCAATCTGGGTGGGAGTAATTACTGAGTTTTGTTAATTAACCCTCGCCATAAAACTTCGGGTTTCCCTTTTGGTCGCCTTTCATCTCCCATTGGGCTCATTTTTCCTTGCACTCTGTGTGAAGCATGTCTGACGCTTCAGGGTGTGCGAAAAATACTTTATTTCCTTGAATATACCTGGGGGTGGGTTAGGAAAAGTCATCTCAAGACTTACGGATTCTACAGATTGGTTTGAGAAGGAACGGAAGTGTCATAGGAAAACCGAAGAAGTCGAAAAGGGGATGGAATATTCGGAAAGGCAACCCGACCTATGGATGGAGTCAGTTTCTCGTCGGGCACGGATTGCGCGGGAGGCAGGCACGTGCACGTGCGTAGTCGCGTTTATACTTTTTATTGAGAGTGCTCAATATTTAAATTTGAGTTTCGATGCGCGATGCGACCATACGGGGCGGAGCAATAAAGATCACCCTTCTTTTTTATTTAAAAGTTTTCTTCGGAGTCGCTTCTTCCTGGAATTGGTAAATAAATACTCTATCATCATCTGAAATAAGAAGGGAGGGCATGCTTATTTCATGGCTTGCGAGTTCTTCATATATACTACTGGACAATGTGTCGCATGGACCTAGGGAGATCGTAAAACACCCACCCCTCAGGCAAGGGAGACTCAAAAGGGATAGGTGGTAAGAGGGACAAGGGGCAAGAAAGACATTTCTCGTCATGTCATTATGGACCGATCCCAAACAGATGACTCCAGATGCTGACTCTGGGAGAGGCTGTAAACCCTAACGCTCTCTACTCCCATAAGCATTAGCTTCAACCTTCCTTCCAACGATCACAGTTTTAAAAGGATCTCTAGCGTCCCTGAATCAAAATACACTGTACTTTGGCCCCCCTAATATGTTTGATTTTTCATTCTCTCCATTTGTGTAAGTTGCGAGTGGTACGTAAGAATTTTGACTTAGAGCAAAGAGTGATCATATTGATTCCCGTTCCATCCCTGTAGGAGTCGCAGCATCACATGAAAGTACAAAGTGGGACTATGAGATGCTGAAGCGAGAGCCTTCAAAACTGACAGATTTTTACTGGATTTCAATCGAGGAGTGAGGCAGTAAGAATAGAATCAGTTGATAGTTGAGGGATGGTGATGGCTATAGAACTCTCCCTTGTTGCCCACTGCTGACCACCTCATCCAGTCTTGGCCTAATCTGGATCGAAAATCATTTAATGGTGTTTAGGGAGTGAGAGAAGCGAGGAGGATATGGAGGGAAGTAGTAGCGGACTGTTGGGGATGGTGATAGCTGGGACGGTGCTGGCCGGGGAACTCTCCCTCATGGCCGCCCTCTCCGTCGGCCACCTTGTCCAGTCTCATCTCAAGCACAACAGGTAAAACGATACGATATTCTGTCTCTTCTGTTTCCTACTTCTGGCGGTTTTTATTCTGCAATGGGACGAGTACCTTTCCCTTAATTATGGAAGTTTATTCATTTTAAGGAAATACCGTGAAGCTGTTAATGCTGTTTCACGAGTTTTGCGTTATTTCTCTTCATGACTGGGGGAAACTAGCCAGAATATGTAGTCATTGCTCTGAAATATGAGCAAAAACTTAATTTTGTAGTGTTGAAAGAAGCAGACTGGTTCATGATATTCTAAAGATCTTACTACACCATCTCTGTCTCGACTCACGTGAGTGAATCCTCTTGTTTCAGATCCCGATTGAACATGGCTACCGGAAACGATTCTTCAGAATCGTCGTCAACTTTGCCTTCCACGAAATCGTGACTCTAGAAGCGATCTTCTCTTTAGTGCTTGGTTGTGATGGACAGTGTCTTTAAATTTATTAAATGACATTACGTCTCAGGCCTGCCTTGTCCTATCCTGAGCGAAGTTGTAGGATGACGTTACCTTTCCTGAGTTGAACTGGGCCAAGCAAGTCCCTTGACGACTCTGTCGAAGGATGAACGGTGACATGAGGGAAAGAGAAATCGGTGGATTGGAATGGGGTGATTTTTACAGGAAATCCGAGTCTGTACATATCTGGGCCTAAATCTCCCTATTCATGACTGCGAATGGAGGGGAGGAAGAGGGAGAAAAAGGGAAGTGAGGAACAGTGGAAGGGAGACTAGGACAAATGCCTCGTGATCCTGTTTCCCATTTCCAAGTCTAATCCTTTTTTTTTATCCCGTCAATATGACTTTCTCTTCTGCTTTCTCCGTCTTTCGTTTTTCCTCGCCATCTCTTCTCGTCCATACACAAGTGGCCCTCGTGCAATCTATCGGACGGAAATTAATATCAACGTCGATGTCTTTATCCTGAATCGCCGCAAACCCTCAAGGTTGGCTTCTGATGCATCTGCCAATGAGTCTGCATTTCGCTGAGTAACACTATGAAAATAAAATGTTTATGATCTAGTTCAATTGTGGAAAATATCGGGTGGACGGCATGAAATGTCTGCATTAGCCTAAAGCTGTATTAACTAATGGAGGTTGAAAGTGGGGCAAATTGCATTTAAAAACGTAAAGTCACATTAGATAACTCGCATCAGCGCCTCCTAATGTGCATTAGCGACTCCGATAATGTACATTAGGGATTCGCAAAAATTTCGTTCGCTTCGACAACGTTCGAAAATTGAATTTTTTTTTATTCAATGCCCAGCACATCAGCAGCAGTACTTCCTCTTCTTTCTGTGCTCTGGTGTTTGGAAAATCACTCCCTATTTTTTAAATATAACATTAGCCATTTTTTGACTCGAACAATGGTTTTGAGTCAAAAGAAAGAGAATTCAATAGGATTTCATGATTCGATTGATTTTTTGTTTGCAGCCACCCTCCAAGGTGCCAAAATCGAATCTTCGACACCGCGCGCAAGTAGCCGCGCAACTGCCCCAAGTCTGCGATAAATTTAAAAGCCATTCGCTTCGATTGAAAAACAGATCACAAACTGCAACTCTTCCTTGGTGCAATCAAGACCCTTACCCGCCATTTTCCCTAACTGTAAGAGGCATGCGAGACGGCAGCAAAGCCAAAGATAATCGTTTTCGCACCGCTGATATTCTAACCAGCAGTACTATGTGCGAATTACGTTGCTAGTTATGTTTCATTCGCCACAATCGCAGATGTCCTGTTACTTTTTGACTCACCCTCGTACTTTTGCGGGCATTGAATATTAAAAAAAATTCAAATTTCGAAGTTGCCAAAGCAAACGACATTTTTGCAGATCCCTGATGTACATTATCGGAGTCGCTAATGCCAATTGCGAAGCGCGAACGGAGTTAACTAAAACGACTTTAAATTAATGCAATGCCTCACTCGAAACCTCCATCGGTTAATACAGCCTCAATATTATTATTTAAATATTTAAATTTAAATATTAGCTTCAGAGATTATACCGATTCCAGGATCCTACGACCTAGGACAGTCAGACGATCACTCCAACTGGTAACTATTACGCACAATTCATGCAAAACGGTTCTACTCTCTAAAAGTAAAGGTTTGGATTGGAACCAATTTCGGTGAAACTTTTATAGAACCATTCTCGGGGAATCGAGCCTACACGAGCCGAAACTGGCTAACTCTTGGAGTTACCAGGATCTGAAGACTTTCTGGGACGTTCGCATGATCACTCCCGCGAATAACTTTTAAGCAACGATCGTGAAAAAAATGGTTCTCGGGTCACAAAACCTATATGAGCTGAGCCCCATCTTTAACAGTTCAAGAGCTACTAAGTTATTATTATTATTCATTATGTCAAACTGTTTTTGAAGTGAACTTTAAAACCATTTCTAATGGGCGCTCGATCACCATTGCATATCTGCACGGTTTTGCTCGCATGTCAACAAATAAAAAAGTGAATCTCCCTCCTCTCCAACATTTTATAATCGAAAACCCCTGAACATTTTGCTTTCGAACCGAATTGGTAGCCTGCCATCGAACATGGCTTCACCCTCTTCACGCAAATCGCCGCGACGAGAAGCCTTTTTTCCCCCATCTCGGTCGCATCGTTCCCGTGATCAAGGGACAATGAGGAAAAAACTACCAGAGGGGATAAGTAGCAAAGATGGGAGTATAATATCCCCTTGTTCCCGGGCCTGGCAAGTGTCCTAATGAGGAATTAGTGGGAGGACAACAAGAAAGGGAGTCTTTCCAGCCGTTCAATGGAGTGTTCCCTCGATGGGAAATAAAGAATCCCTGGCAGTCTCGTCTCTATTGAGATTAACATGATTCCCTCCGCTCCCTTCCCCCCCCCCCCCCTCACCCCCCCCCCCCCCCCATTCCCCCCATCGACTAGGGGTATGCCTGGGTCTCCTCCCCCTCTCCGGTCAATCAACTGGAAAGAAAGCCGACCGAGTTTTACCCTTTCGTTCGCGCAGTGCACAGCTGTGGAAATGTGAACGAAATTAATTTGTTTTATTTCTCCCATAAATTCAATAATGAACCTGGGGCTCCACTCAGATTTTGTCCACATAATAGTTAAAATTGCAAATAAAAGTATTCGTCCAACGATCGCTAATACATTACAGCAAATAGAGAAAATTAGAGGTTAATCATTGGACCAGGTAATGAATGCATTAATTAATTCTTTTTTAACCGAAAAAAAAAAATTTTAACCGAAGAATCACAGAAAACGCCTCAGCCGATTAGAGCTTCTTTTTTTTTCCAGCCATATGCAAATCAGCTTCGGTCGCGATATCTCCATTGCAAAGGCAAGAGTTCATTTACCATTTCATTTACCGTTCCATTTACCTCGAATATGGATGCAATGCCTCATTCCGTAGTCAATGCCACCTCGTTTCAATTATTCCCCACCACTTTAATATTAGCATAATGGAGGCATTCGTTTTGAATGCCTCATTCAAAACCGCCAATTCATTTCATGCTTGCCAATTACACGTTCATAAATTGCATCTGTGCGCAAAAACGTATGGATCAAACAATGCAATTACATTCTGCAGTCAAGAAGCAATTGCGACCACTCACGGATAATCACCGCAGTAATTAACATTGTTCTAATTGCCCTATTTGGGCATCTTGATGGGTCCGTTTCGAGTTTTCCCGGTACTTGCTCGGTACTTCCTCGGTACTTCCACGAGTACGGACAACCGCGAAGAAACTTCGGACGACCGAGCGGACGGACTCCCCGGTTACGTCAGGCGGCCAGTCCCGCTAACCAGTCGGTCACGTGACCATCAGGTGAAAAATCGCAATCCGTCTCAATGAGGTCCAGGACAGATTCGAGCGGGACTCCGAGCCGGCAAAGTAAATAAATGAGCAAACAGGCGCTGCATTTCTCTGCCAGTTTCCTCCTCTTTTGCTCTGCACTGCAACTTCGCGAAAGATTTCCGTTTCTTGTTGATGTTCTGGTTCCACTAACTAGTTCCACTAACTAGCCATTAGTCATAACTCGTTTGTTCGCGAGCTGATTAGTTGGCTGGTCAGACTGGAATTTGGAACTAATTAAAATAATGAGCTGCATTCGCTACTAGTCAGGCAATGTTGAAGTGTGGAAAACCATTTCCAAGGTTTCCACCTTGACCGAGCTCTCATCTGACGTTCGTCGAGGCGGAAGTGCCAGCAAGAATTCATCGAAATTGTCTGGTTGTTGGGACTTGCATGCTCCTATTTATAGAATTATGTCCTTATTCTCGCCAGAGACTCCATGCGAAAATCTTCCGAAAAAAAAACTGGAAAGAAAATCCATACTCAAGAAACGTAACCCACGCACTGCAAAAAGTTGGCACATGCCAATTTTTACCTGCAGATGGAATAAAGGACTCACAGAATCAATCTCGGAAGAATGACCTTGGAACCTACCTGTAAAATTCCCGCCCTTTCCGAGAGGCAGGCGAAAAGTTATGACCTCGGTTGGGTCACCCCTTGCAAGAGAAGTTTCAACCATTTATCACCTTCCTTGCGGTGATAAACCAGTTCGAAAGTGGTAAGTTTTTTTTTTTTCTTCTTTTACCTGGAGCGAAAGGAAAGTTTTTCGCCGGGATTCATGGCTTCTTCCTGGCTGGCACATTCGCAGAGCTGCCGAGTGGGTAAACATCCATTAAAGTAAACATCCACTACAGTAAACATCCATTAAAGTAAACATCCACTACAGTAAACATCCATTTGAGTAAACATCCATTACAAACGTGACCGCGGGAATGCGAGGTTCTCGAGTCATCCCCAGAAGCGCGGATGGACTCGCGTGCCCTCCAAGCTCCGGAGCGACCCAAGGGAGGTCAGTGACCTCCCACTTTTGAAGGTCTCTGCTCCCTGCGGAAGGAGGAGCGTGAACGTCTCTCTCTGCTTCGCAGGAATCTTCCGTATTAAAAGCACTCATGCAGATTGCCAAAGGCCCACGGGAACCAGATAGAACAACTCAAGACCCCGTAAGAATGGCATAAACCGTAAAGAACGATCCGTAAACTGGATGCCAGCGGCACTGAGTCGGGTGCCAGCGGCACTGAACCGGATGCCAGCGGCTCTGAACCGGATGCCAACTTGAGGCCGACGAGGGCACCGTGGGTCTCCTCAGTTTTTTTTTTTCTGGCTATTTTTAGATCGGCCAGAAGGCGAAAATGCTGCTTTAGTGTCGTAATCGAAACACCTCATGGAGTGAGGTGCTCTTCGATTGCACCTCTAAAAAAAAACTCTTTTCTCTGACTGTGTTTAAAATAAGGGACTTGTGACTTCGGCCCCCTCTCATAATAAAACGGCGTGCGAAGAATTGGCAATACTCGACTAGGCAATTTCGATCAAAGTTGGCCAAAAAAAAATGGCCAAAATTGCCCACATCCGGCATACACCTCAATTAAGAGCGTGTGAATCAGGGGAAACTACCAAATGTAATATTGTTGGTGAAACGAAGATCCAGATTGCTTTGGCCCTCAAATACGTGTATCTAAATTCTCTTATTCTTGGTATAAATAAATAAAAATTCCGGATTCTCCTCTGAGATTTGCAAAAATGATTTGTGCGAGGACATAGCGAATCTTGAGCCGTATCTTGCCGAGAGGCATTTCATGAATATGTGATGAAGGCAGTGTTGAGAGACATGACTGAATGTCCTGGGTTCGGTAGTGCAATGGTAGCACACCTGACCGGCAATCAGGAGGCCCGGGTTCAATTCCCGGCCCTCGCTTGGCTTTGAAGGGGTCATGGAGTCCCCGGCCTCCCGTGTGACCTCATGTGCGACCTCCACCGAGGTGGAGGCAGATGTCTGAGGTGGAGGCAGATGAGGAGGGTCTGGGTCGAGAGTCGCTGTGAGCGGTTGCTTTTTGCGCGACTCTCGCCGGTATTCGCTGGCTGGGAGACCGAAAGGGTGGCTGTCCCGAGCCTTCGAGGGTTTTAAGTAGTCGAAATCGTGACCTTAAGGATGAGGGAAGGTCAAATCGGCCTCTCCTTACGTTAAAGGTGGATTAGGAACTCACAAGTGTTCCCTTGTCGGGCCGAAATTGAGAAATCCCTGAAAACGGTTTTCCACGGCTCACCATCGTGGGGTTGATCGCCCTCTTAACGGCCAGATGATCCACAGCGGGGATCGCAGAAGCGAGGATCTCGGAAGCGAGGATCTGGCCCCGTCTCGGGAATGGCCATTACGGCCGTCGCCGAGCTTCGCCCCTTCCGAGAGGGGGGAATAGGGGGAGCGGCCGATTTCTCATTTCGCGTTTCTTCCTCGATCGGGTGCCGGAGACATCCCGAATATTTTTTAATGATTCTTTTAATGATTCCGTTTTCGCGAGGTCGAGAACCCCCCCGGTGAGTTCGATCGTTTGCAGATTGAGCACAGAATTCATTTTTCCCTGCTCCTTCTCGTTATCACCATCTCGAGAGGGAGAAACCTGGCTGAGCCGAGCCGGATCCCCCACGGATGATGTTTCATCCTCGCCACGATCGCTTCAACGAGTTGAGGTAAAAACGTCAATGGAAAGGGGAAGCGAGAGAAGGGAAGGAAAGAGAAGAGATTTAATAAATTCTCCACTCCAACAGAAAGGGGGGGAGGGGGAAGGGGGGGGAGGGGGAGGGGGAGGGGAGCGAAAGCAGGCAACGGGATAAACACATGCGCCTCGAAGAGGAAAAGGAAGGATATGGGAAGGGCACGGAGAAGAGGATCATTTCCCGCCATGGCCCGAGAGTCCGTGCCAGTGTTGCCATGATCCCTTGCCAGGGATGCCTCCTCGTGGTCCTCTCCCTCCTCTTCCTCCGCCTCTCCGCACCTTCCCTGCATTCCGGCGACCTCTACGGTGAGTCGCCGGTCGACCGGTGGCGATCGACCGAGTTCTCCCTCTTTTCATTTTTTTTTTTTCACTGGAATTCGCAGCAGGACTAAACCGCCCGGTTACCGCTCGTCCTCGCGGTTGCATCGCGGTCATCATTCTGAGTCATATTTCTCCGTTCCCACTGGAGCTACTACCAACAAACTTTTGCTGCGAATCGATGAACGAATCTCCAAAACATCCTCCAAATTTCCGCTGATTTCGTTCCTCCACGACAAAGTTACGAGCGAACTTCGAGAAGAAGTTGGATTCCCAACTCATCCCGACTTCTCGCTCCTCAGAACTTTTTCTTGCGATAATTTCATAAGACGATAAGAATTAAAACAGGGGAAATTTTTTCTTCCATTTCCGATTACTTTCGAGTAACTGCTCGGGCGGAATCGATTTGGGCGAAATGTAATGTAATGGATAGGCTGTAATGGATTAAATGTTATGGATCTCTTGAGACCATTTCATTCCATTGCGTTGCAGTCAATCAACTTAGGAAGCATAAGTCGATGAACTTAATTATGTTCCAGTCGCAAACGGGGGCCAGTCCCGACTGCGTCCCCGTAAAAAAAGACTCTAAATTTCGCGATTTTGCAGGCATTCCGCCGAACGTCGACTTTCGCAACGTCGACATTTGCAACATCGAGAGTCGACATCGCAAAAGTCGACCTTTTCCGAGAAAAGTTGAGGGAGGCTGGACTGATTCTCCCAGACGAAAACGGGAATAAATCCTCTTTTCATAGTGGAACGTAGTAATAAGCAATAAGCGAGGGTGCTTGGTATATTGAGGTGCTTGGTGTATTGAGAGCTTGGTGTATTTAGGGTAAAGTGGGTCTAATTCTCGTGAATGGCTCAATTTCTCTGCGCGTACATGAAGTAATGGCAATAATGCCCGGAAATGATTGCCATCCTTCTGTCGCTTTAGGCATTAAGGGCGTCGCTTTAAGCAGTGAGCAATGTCAAGTTTTCTTCTTAACCATTTATCTCAACCGAAGACTTCCCTGCTGATATTTCCCTGAAGGAGAAAAGTGTGCTCAATCTGGGAGCATTTTGAGGGAATTAGCTCATCCGTTCAGACGTAAATGAAATGCACTGCACCCTTCGAATCGGTCTAAATATAAAATGTATACGTATATTGTAATGTATTGTGATGTACTGTAACGTATTGTAATGTACTGTAATGTATTGTAATACATGATTTAGACCTGGACTTTCGGGTGACGATCGTCGCTCGAGCCCAAAGGTCTCACGATGGCAGCAAAAGAAAAAGGAAGAATCTCGCGCGCGAAACCGCGGAGAAAAAAAAAACCTCGTACGGGGAGGAGGACAACCACGTCTGAGGGCAACCACGTCTGAGAGCGACGGATCGTGGAAGCAGTCGCGAGCCTCAAAGGTGGCTTCAGATCAGACGGATTTCCAGAAGTCCGGCTCCCGAGATCGATCCGAGATCGATCAGGATCGGTAAAATTTTAGGAACCGGCCCAAGAAGCGAGGAAAGAGTCGTCAACAATATCAGCAGAGTTTTCGACCGAGTTATCGACGGGCTCATCGCATTTTTTTTTTTCAAGCTCGAACTTGAAATCTGAAAGAACCCGAGCCGATAATTATTTAGTTGGCTCCATCGTTACATCAATACGTTACATCGTTACAGTCCATCGTTACTGTTTCGTATTTTCGATTCCGACCACGAAATGGAGAAAATGCTGGGTTGCCACAAGGTTGCCGAATGAACAGGGTTGCCGAATTAACAGGGTTGTCCGCGCCCATAGATTTCGCAACCCGCATCGCACTTTCGCCGCCCGTGTCGAAAAGATTGCTTGCACATTCGCAATGATTCTAAATTTGGCAAGCCGAATCGGAGAGGTTGCCGATTTAATCGGATTCCGTTTAACGTCGGCCGTCGGCCGTTGGCCGTCGACGTCGGCCGGAATCGAGAAAGACGCAGTAATTATTAATAAATCCATTTCGGGGAGAAACGAGGGACATTTCCCCCTTTTCGCTGCCGCCGTTTCCGCACTGCGAGAAGTGGTTGGCGATAAATGGAGTTCGGCCGGTTCCGCGAGCCGATTGGTCCGCTCGAAATTTTCGTCTCCATCGAGTCGCGAATATTTTCCGCTTGCGGAAGGCCGTCGCGAAATCGAACAAAAGAGGCGGAGAGGCGCGTCGCCGCCTCGCAGCTGCCGGAAGCGAGACGGATGTCCACCTCCTCATCCACCTCCTCATCCGCCTCATCCGCAGGTCTCATGCAATATTGAAGTCCCCTGTCATGTTTCTTTCATGGAGCATTTCGCCAAGCGAGGGAGATTATGCTCGGGGACTCGAGGGAATTCCCTCGCGACGGGAACCGCCTGATGTTTTGCATCAGGACAGAAATACCGAGAAAATTATTCATAAAAATACCGAGAAAAATACCCTCAATACCTGGCCAAGCAGACTAAAATGATGGATGCATCCGGCCCTCTCCCCTCCATCCTCCCTCCCTTCCCCTCCCCCCTCTAAAGTGCTCAGAAGGATGCATTACGATGATGCCACTGTGCCACGGAGAAGCATCCTTCGAGATGTGATCGATGGTCGGTTTATACAATACGATTGCGGCTCTAATTCCTCTTCGAATCGGCTCGGATCGCACCGAAACGACGCCGTTTCCCGCGCGGACCGGAAGCCCCTTTTCCGGGCCGCGTTCCGCCTCGCCTCACGGAGAACGTGAGTCCCCTCACCTCGTCTCGCAGAGAATGGGATCCCCGTGATGGAGGAGGAGGAGAAGCAGCGGCCGGGCTTCCTCGGCGGGATCCTCAACATCTCGGTGCCGAAGGGGAAGGAGGCCGTGCTGCAGTGCCGGGTCACCAATCTCGGCCACTTCCAGGTCAGTCCGATTGCTCTCGTGCCAGATTGCTCTCGTGCCAGATTGCTCTCGTGCTCGGGTGCTCTCGCGTTACGTTCTTTCGAGATGTCGAATTGAGGTTTGTAGGTAGAAGCAAATCAGGAATCGCTTGCCATTTGGTTGCCATTTGGTTGCCATTAGGTTTTGATTATTATTTGCCCATGGGGAAACCCAACAAGCCAAATGGCTAGGAAATGAAAAAAGAATAATGCTGAAAAAGAATAGCTTAAGCAATCGGGGAAAATGGAAAGGATAATGTTATAATATTCTTATTAAGAGAAAGGACAAAGTCATTCATCTGTAAGGTATAAATTAAGAAGATCCGAATTTCCTATTTAAAAAAAAAAAGTAATTAAAAGGTACTCTATCGAAAGAGGAAACTAGACCCAGACGCAGTGGACTTTTATCAATAATATTAATATATGGTATATACAGTATATATACCATATATTAATATATATATATGTTGATCCAGGTGGGTTGGATCCAGGTGGACACCCAGACGATCCTGACGATCCACACGAAGGTGATCACGCATAACAACCGGATCTCCGTGAGCACCGGGGAGAGCGGCCACCTGTGGAACCTCCACATCCGGAACATCGGAGAGGGGGACGCCGGATGCTACATGTGCCAGATCAACACGCTCCGGATGCAGAAGCAGACCGGATGCCTCGACGTTCACGGTACGACCCTCAACCTCATCCGTGAATCCTCATCCATGGATCCTCATCCGTGAATCTCGGATGAGGATGCAGAAAGAGTCCCGTCGAGTTTTTTATGGAATCCTGTAGGAATTCTATAAGAGTCCTACAGGATTCCCAAAGGAATCCTACAGGTTTTTTGGGGCTTCAAAAATTAATGGGACTTCTATAGGACTTCTCCATAAGGGCTGTAGTAAAAAAAAAGATGGTTTCCCGGGAAGCGCCCGAAACGATCGGAGTAACGAAGCAGGTTCCTGACCCGTCGCAAGTACTGAGTACCTAGTACCATCTCTTGAGCCATCCTGAGTACCAGTACTTTCAGGAAATTGCGAAAGCAGGCTTGCAGCGATTCTGGACCTCATACCGTTCTCACTTCTTTTCCCACACGATTCCTCCATTGAGGGAATTTCCCCATTGAAGGAATTCCGAGTGCAATTCCAAGACGATGCAAGAATGGGGGAGAGGGGG